TGTGGACACGTAAAAACTGCAGTTAAATTCTCTTTGAGAACCGGGTTTTTCCACACTTGCACAACCACTGAGACATTTCCTTCTCTTTGTGCAAACAAAACCAAGTTGTGTTTTCTGTTTCTGTGCCAAACACATTTGAAAATAAATGTATAGTTCAATCCAAACTGACATAATTTAAACCCAACATCTGATGATTTGGATATCAGTCCAGCTTCTTCTTTCAAAACATTTTCTCTGTGTGTTTCTTTGTTTGTTTTAGTGTGTGAGGTTGGTGTACACATACTGTATGTTTCCCTGTGGAGGTGTATCTCTAACTGAGAGGAAACAGAGGCTGACTGAGAAGCTGCTGCCTCCCTTTGGGCAGAGTGAGAATCACAGACAGAAGAGCCAAACTTCACAGAGTTCAACTTGTTTCTTTCATGTCAGAGTTACAACATCTAAAAGTCACAGGATCCAGATCTGTCAGATACGTCGTATCACAGCACTTGCACTTACACTGACTCCTCTATGCGTCCCTTACCCTCACAGCCCACACCAATTCACATACATGTGATCTTCTCTGAACAAAAAAATACTTTATGTGTCCATACTTACAATCAGCCTATAGTCTGACTCACAGATCCCACACAGACTGAACAAAGCTGCGCTCAAAGCTCAACTGCAGCTTTTATTCCACACCATGGGCTCTTCATGCTTTGTTTCCACTCAATTCCATTTCTTTTGGAAATGTATATCCGAAATAATAAAGACCCAGGTCTACATTTGACAGACTCTGTAATCATCTAACAACAGAACGGTTGTTTTAAAGTTTCAAGTGTGTGACGAAGTGTGGTTAGTTATGCTGAAGCCCATAGATGATTCTGCTTATTACATATATACCTATTTTAAAACAAAACTGTTATAATGTGGAGACACTGTGATCCACAATTTTCATTGGAGGTGTGTTAAAGATAGAAAAAAATCGAGGATTGATCACAATATCTTTTTTATGTTCATATTTTATGTTCATTTAATATTAGGAAAGATTAAGGTCTTGAATAAATATTGAAAATGTCAAAAGCGTTAAAGCACATGACAATGTTTACTTTCTTGACGTTTAATCTTCCTCACTGAAAAAATGTCACAGTTAAGTTAGGACATTCAAGATATCTATTTAGATTGCCGCAGCATGTCATCCATAGTTTGAGAAGGTGTAATACAGAGAAAATACCAGGCACAAGACCTTATTTGGTCCGTCTGAAATTTTCGTCAGAAGTGTCATCTATTGTCATTTAAACAGACTTGACTCATCTGTCCGTCAGAACCTTACTCCGCCCCCCTGCTGATTAAGGTGAAACTGATAAGAGGGCAGGGGGATTTAGGAGGGAAGATTATCTAAATAAATATTCTAATGCGATAAGCAAAAAACATAGCTTGGATTGTATTTAAATGGTGTGTTTTATCAGACTTGTGGCACTATACGCAAAGCAGTGTCACATGTTTTCTTTTGTTAGACTTAGTGACACAGGGTGGTTGGGGGAGGTTAAACAGGTTATGGGTAAGTGGAGTTTGGGGGTGTGGACCTGATGACAAAGCTGCCTAACTCCATGGCCCCTCCTCTCTCTCACAAAGGAACATATGTACCTGTTCTCCTCTGTATCCTCTCCCATTTACCAAACTCACCTGCCTGAAGACGAGCCTCATCCACAGAAGAGGACAAACAATACACAGCCTTACGTCACTTACCAGGGAGGAACTAGGCCTTTCGAGTCCTGAGTTTCATCTGAAGCAACTGAAACAACAAATCAGCCCTCCACCATGGTGTCTGCTGGGATACAGATCCTGGGCGCAGCTCTAGGGATCCTGGGATGGATCGGTGCCATCATCGTGTGCGCCATCCCCATGTGGAAGGTCACTGCTTTTATCGGCAGCAACATCGTGACCTCGCAGACCTCATGGGAAGGTATTTGGATGAACTGTGTGCACCAGAGCACGGGCCAGATGCAGTGTAAGGTGTACGACTCCATGCTGGCTCTCAGCTCCGACATGCAGGCCGCCCGGGCTCTGATCATCCTCTCCATCGTGGTGGGCGTCATGGCTATCCTGCTCTCCGTAGCCGGGGGGCAATGCACCAACTGTGTGGAGGATCCGGCGTCCAAGACCAAGGTGGGCATTGCAGCTGGAGTTATGTTCATCGTAGCCGGGGTCCTCTGCCTAATCCCTGTCTGCTGGACGGCCCACACCATCATCCAGAACTTCTACAACCCCCTGATGGTCAGCGCCCAGAAGAGAGAGTTGGGCGCCGCGCTCTACATCGGGTGGGGGGCGGGCGCCCTGATGCTGATCGGAGGGGGGCTGCTCTGCTGCAACTGCCCCCCTAAGGACGAAGGATCCTACACTGCAAAGTACATTGCTACCAGATCTGAGGCCTCAGCACCAGCCTCCAGCAAAGACGTTGTCTGAAACAGAGCTAGGAGTCAGTAAACGCTTCCTGAAGCAATGTTTACTGGGACAGATGCACTGGTGCTACTGGGTTGTGAGTGTTGATACTGTATTTCAGATGTATGTATTGTTATTGTATTGTTATGTATGTATGTATGTATATGTAGGAAATAAACAGCGAGATAGGAACCACACCCAAAGAGGAAATGAAATTTGAATTGTTCACACAATTACTTGTATATGTTTGGTTGTTAATATGAATATTAGTCATTTTGTAAGTCTTTTTCATAGAAATATGAAAATGATATAATCTTATTTGAAACGCTGTATGTGGTATCTTTTTTTTTTACAACTAATTGTATGAGATTTGTTTAACTGCTAGTTACACTGTAAATACATATTTTGTTTACAAATCAAAGTTTAAGTGTGCTTGCTTTTTTATGTTTACATTCACACAACAGCTGTGTTCAACATGATTCATCCAGTTGTCTTGAAATAGAACAATATAATAATCATTAAAAGATCCTTTAACTAATATTGTATTCCCCGTTTTTTATCATTAATTGTAATTTTATACATGAATTGACAAATAAATGCCTGATCATCACAACTTTACGATTAAAACAAGGTCAATATGAGAAACACAATAATAAATAACGTCTGAAGGGCAGTTATTGTCTGACATTCTTGTAATTCAGGTTTAGGTGTGGCAGAAAAAAGAGGCAAGGTGGTTAGAACCGGTCTTTGTTCAAACTGTGAGCCTACAGGCAAAGAGGTTTAAACAGTAACTGTAGGAACAATATTTAATCTGTCAAGAAAGTACATATTAAAATACCAGGAAATGTCATATTCCGCTTCCACAAAGTGAATTTCCTTCCTCCAAAAATCTTTCCTGACTAATATGATTAAGTCCTATACTTGACTAATAATATAATATTATATACCCATATAACTAGATTGAATACAGCATTTTATATCTGAGTCAATGTTATTTGTTATATAAATGAAAAAGCATGCCAAGGATTAACTCTCTGTAGTTTAAATGATACATTGAATTATTGAATTATAAATCTTTCTCTTCTTTTTTATAAATATTCACTATCTGGTCTTTTTTTTGCTGAGTATGTTGACCCAAACTCTGAAGTTTAGTGTTTGTCCAAGGCTTTGTGTGTGTGTGTGTGTGTGTGTGTGTGTGTGTGTGTGTGTGTGTGTGTGTGTGTGTGTGTGTGTGTGTGTGTGTGTGTGTGTGTGTGTGTGTGTGTGTGTGTGTGTGTGTGTGTGTGTGTGTGTGTGTGTGTGTGTGTGTCAATTAAACAAAGATAAAACTGAGGTAATGGTTTTTGGAGCCAAGTCAGAACGTATAAAAGTTAGCACTGAGCTTCAGTGTGCAATGTTCAAAACAACAGATAAAGCCAGAAATCTAGGTGTAGTCATGGACTCTGACCTGAGTTTCAACAGTCACATTAAAACTGTTATTAAATCAGCCTACTATCACCTAAAGAATATATCTAGGATTAAAAGACTAATGTCACAGCAGGATTTGGAAAAACTTGTCCATGCTTTTATCTTCAGTAGACTCGACTACTGCAATGGTGTCTTCACAGGTCTCACTAAAAAATCTATTAGGAAGCTGCAGCTGATTCAGAACGCCGCTGCTCGAGTCCTCACTAACACTAAGAAAGTGGATCACATCACTCCTGTTCTGAAGTCTTTACACTGGCTTCCTGTGTGTCAAAGAATAGATTTCAAAAATACTGCTGCTGGTTTATAAAGCACTGAATGGTTTAGGCCCAAAATACATTTCTGACCTCCTGCTAAATTATGAACCATCCAGATCTCTCAGGTCTTCAGGGACTGGTCAGCTTTCTGTCCCCAGAGTCAGAACTAAACATGGTAAAGCAGCGTTCAGTTATTATGCTCCAAATATCTGGAACAAACTCCCAGAAACCTGCAGGTCCGCTACAACTCTGACTACTTTTAAATCCAGGCTGAAGACTTTTCTTTTTGTCGCTGCTTTTAATTGAACTATTCATATCTTAGACTGCACTGTAACTTTTATCCATGTACTTTTTTCTTTTAATGTTTAATTGACTGCCATGTATTTTTTTCTTTTAATGTTTATTTTATTAGCTTTTCTTTTTAATGACTGATTTTAAATGCCATTTTCCAATGCCATCTCTTTCATTTTTTGTAAAGCACTTTGAATTGCCTTGTGTTGAAAAGTGCTATATAAATAAACTTGCCTTGCCTTGCCTTGCCTTGCCTTGCCTTGCCTTGCCTTGCCTTGTGTGTGTGTGTGTGTGTGTGTGTGTGTGTGTGTGTGTGTGTGTGTGTGTGTGTGTGCGTGCGTGCGTGCGTGCGTGCGTGCGTGCGTGCGTGTGTGTGTGTGTGTGTGTGTGAGCACAGGTGGGATCTGGGGCCATTGTTCCCGGTCTCAAAGTCTTGCTTGGGGTAACAAAGCTTAGTATGCGGGAACAATGGAGAGAGAGAGAGAACAAGGTTTGTGGATATCAAGTCTCAGCTTTCCCCTTTTGTCCGTGGACACAGAAACTCCACCCTGAAAGTTGGAACCACGGAGTAGTTATCTTCTCACAGTTGGACCTCAGAGCATCAGAGCAGAGCAAACCCTTCCTCAAGCAGGGTGAGAGAGGAGCATAAGAGAGCAAATACAACCCCTGTTGAGTTTTTGCACAACCTCCGAGACATTTCTGTAAGAGGCGTAGAAAGTTGATTCCTGGCTGCATTGGCGTTATCATGGCTTCTCAAGGCCTCCAGATCATGGGTGTGCTGCTGGCCTTCATCGGCTGGCTGGGCACCATCATCACCTGCGCCATGCCCATGTGGAGAGTCACCGCTTTCGTCGGGGCGAACATCGTTACGGCCCAGGTGATCTGGGAGGGCCTGTGGATGACCTGCGTGGTCCAGAGCACGGGCCAGATGCAGTGCAAGGTGTACGACTCCATGCTGGCTCTGCCTCAGGACCTGCAGGCCGCCAGGGCCATGGTGGTCATCGCTGTGATCGTCGGGGTGTTTGGCATCCTCATGGCCGTGGTTGGAGGGAAGTGCACCAACTGCATGGAGGACGAGGTGGTAAAAGCCAAAGCTTGCATTGTGTCCGGAGTGATCTTCATAATAGCAGCATTTCTGATAATGATCCCGGTGTCGTGGTCAGCTCACGCGGTGATCAGGGACTTTTATAACCCCATGGTGATCGCTGCTCAGAGGAGGGAGCTCGGGGCAGCTCTGTATATCGGCTGGGGCTCCGCTGGGCTGCTGCTGCTGGGAGGGGGCCTGCTCTGCAATAACTGCCCCCCAAGAGAAGGCACCAGACCCTACATACCTGCCAAGTTCGCCCCTGCAAGAACCGCATCTTCAAATGTGAACTATGTGTGAATGTTCAGAGTGGAACGGCAGCATGAAATATCGGGAGGTTTTTTCTTATTTAAAAAAAAAAATGTATACAAAATGTTGTACAGAAGGATTTATTTCTCATAAATGTGGTTGCAAAAGCTGACATAGGCATGAACATGTGATTGATAAGAGAATAAACCCTCCTCTGAATTTGAATCACTTAAAAATATGGAGCATTTAATTCACAAAAGACAGCACAGTTAAGTCCTGTATATTTCCTTGTTGTTTGTCTGATGTATGAGACTAAATGGATTATTATTTAGACTGCTGATCAGAGAAAAATGTGAATGAAAAGCATTTTGGAAAAATTGACATCATATGCAGATTTTAATATTGAACAATGTGCAGTTGAAGCAGATCTGATGTAATTGTATAATGATAAAAGGATCACAGACTTTTGAAATTGCTTTCAAATGTCAGAAATAAAGCTTCTTTGTTCCAACGTTGCTCTCTCATGTTCTCTCTGCACCTTCACCAAACACAGCAATAAAACTGAAACTGAACTTCTCAAAGCACTCGTGACAAGGCATTCAGGAATTCAGGGGAACAGCCTCCTGGGAATGTACTGTATCTGCTTGAGATGTTTGCCATGGCCTAATCCACCGCTCTTGTACAGAGACGGTAATTTACAGTGTCTGTCTCAACTAAAATGGATGTCACTGCCACAGAGAGACAACAATGTGCTGTGTATACTTAAATTCATGTTGCTAAGGAACTGCTCTTTATCTCCAAATAATGGATATTTACACGTTGCCCAGTTAAAGCACATCTGCCAAGTATTGTCAGGATGATATATAGTAAACCTCTTTAACGGTTTTCTTTTTGTTTACAGACATTTTCAATTGAAACCAGTCCAACAAGAAACACAATACGCTGCTGTAATTTCTCACTCTTGTGTCCGTTTCCATTCAACCCACTCAGATGAGATCAGGCCAGGGGAATAAGAATTCAGATCATTAAGTAAAAGTATCAGTGCTAAAAAAATTGTTAGCAAGTAAAAGTCCCTATCTTAATTGTCATGTAGGGAAAAGTACGGACGTTTCATCAACAAAATGTCGGATTGTTTATGCTAGAATGGAAAGCAACGTTTTAAGGATTTAGCTGATCAAATGGATCTGTATTGAACATTTAATTATGTCAAGTCAATTCTATAGCCCAGCATTTAGCCCAATAAAACAAATAAGAGGCTTTACAATCGGTACAGCATACAACACCATCTCTCCTTAAACCTTACTGTTATATCGGTTAAACAATGGAATATGTTTTGTGTCATTTTTAAACTCCAAAGTAACTATCAACAATTTTATTTTAAATATCTAAACAGTGCAACTTTTCCATCTGATATTTAAGAGAAAATAAATATCGCGATACTTTGCTTAGTACATCAATATTGTGTTCATACAGATGAAATACATCATACATACATTCAGTTTGTCTGAAGGAAAAACAATTCACGTGACATTTTTCTTTTATTTTGCAAAAAACATGAATAAAAACATCAGAAGAGTCTTACCCTGAATTAATACTGAAATGATAACACAAAACAATCAAATATAAAAGCATTAAGCATCAAGCTCAACTTCATGTTGCATTACTATAACATGGCACATACCGTAGAGTCTCTTGAACATTTCAGAAACAAAAGGCCACAGTGTGTTCGAATAGTTTTTTAGTAAAAAATGAAAATCACAACTCGATAAGCAACAGGTGTGTACTGTATGTAAAGTCAGGTTGTGCGTCTTGTTTAGCGCAGAATTTCAGACAAATTCCTTCCCGGGTGTTGTGGATTTAGGCGCAGAGTACTTGGCTCCGTTGTAGCGGTCTCCTCCTCCTGCCGGGCACTGAAAGCAGAGAAGAGAGCCGCCGACCAGCAGAAGTCCTGATGCCGCCCAGCCCACGTACAGACACGCTCCCAGCTCCCTCCTCAGGGAGTCAGGAACCATGGGGTTGTAGAAGTCCTTGATGACTGTATTAGCAGGCAGAGACACGGTCACCAGGCACAGAGCCCCACTCAGGATGAAAAAAAAACCTGCAGTCATGGCAACTCTGGCTTTTGCTACCTTGTCCCCAACGCAGGTGGTGCATTTCCCTCCGACCACAGAGAGCAGCAGGCCGAACAGAGAGAACAGGATGGCGATGACCACCATAGCCCGAGCAGCCTGGAGGTCCTGAGGCAGGGCCAGCAGGGAGTCGTACACCTTGCACTGCATCTGGCCGGTGCTCTGCACAACGCAGGTCATCCACAGGCCCTCCCAGATGGTCTGAGCCACCACAATGTTGTTCCCAATGAAAGCTGACACCTTCCACAGGGGCAGCATACAGATCAGTATGTTTCCAATCCATCCCAGCACAGCCAGAGCTACGCCGACAATCTGCAGCCCTAAAGATGCCATTTCTGTTTGGTGGTTCTGCTTCTCTTTGCTTCCTTACAGTTCTTCACTGGGCTGCCAACTAAAAGCTTTCTCCCTGCAGGGACGTTTTATGTGCCCTACCATAGCCCCTGAGTGGCCCCCTCTGCCGGGTGGGCTTTGGCTTCAATGCTCAAATATAAAGATCCATCATTCTGCCAGAGTTCCGACGTGTTTCTCTCCTACAAAGAGGCCCTCTGGTACCCCCGCACAGCTATGGGAAAGAAAAGAAGCTTTCTTTCAAAAGCTTGCTACAGTAAATAGCTGTCGTTGTGGAGACTTTAGAAAAGTTAAAAACATGGAATTTCTTTACTTTAGTTAAGCTATTTTTATCTAGAGTTGTGCGCTTACTCTTTGTTACTACAAACAAAATATATTATAGCTTTTTTAATGCAGGGATTCCCAACCAGCAATATATTGAGACACTGAGAAACTCAGTGAGTAAACAGAAGAAAGGTTTATGTGTTTATTTAAATATGTGTTTAGGATGAAACCAAATGTACTAGGACAGTATACACAGTCAGATTATATATTTTAAGACCATGTACTGCAAACTGACATTGTGTACGTTTTCAAACATTTATATCAGTCATGATTTCTGAACAGTTGCCATTCTTGTCAAGCACCACAAGCAGAAGGCCATCTAGTGGTAATATGTTTGAGGGAAGGAAGATGTCTTTAAGGTGGATATTGCCAGCATTTTACATTAGGCTTATATAAAACCTTCAGTAAAAAGCTCAAACATACTATATATTCTAATAATGATGATCCTCAAGTGCAACTTGTGGCACCTGAAATGGTGAAACATTGATTACCCAGCTGGCATAGCCACTACTAGATAGACAATAGCTGAACAATTAAAGCAACAAAATGCAAAAACAATTCCAGGAGATAGTTCACTTTTTATTAATGTCTGCCTTTGCTGTGGAAAAGGGGGGAAATAAAGTTACAATCTTACAATGTCAAAAAATAATAAAGCACAATGTATTGCAATACATTCTTCTCATACTCCAATTTCTCAATATATAGTTTGAGTTTCTTCCTCTCCAGTTCTTTTTGATGTTGTCTATCTCCAGGTTACATTTATAGATACATATGTATATTACAATACTTATTTTTGAAAACCTAGAAATGGATGTCATATGCTGAGGGGAATTTTGCAAATGTCCTCTCCATGTGAAATAAATCAGCAAGCAAAGATAGTAAATTATTGAAATGTTACAGGTCACCTGAGGCAGATAATATAGACTACCAGATGAGTGTCATTGATAAATTAGGCCATCACTACTTCCTTACTAACCTACTCTAGTCTACAAGTTACAAGTATCTCCTTCAACTGTAAGTTACAGATTTTTCACACAAATGAACACAACAAGAATTATTTCAGTACTTTGCAAATAAACCAATTATTATATGTAGGATTGTAGTGGGAGCTGCCACCAGGATCAGTACTAACACCCCCACTTGATCCCATTTGTGATTGGCCGACCTAGATTGTTAAAAAGTTTTTTTTAAAATGAAATCAGGAAGACAGCTAGCTCCAGCAGACCATTTCAGAGCAGCTGGCCCTCCTCTAATGTTTTCCCTGTCTGCTTCAGGAAAGATTAACATTTTACAGAGTATCTGTATACTGATACAAATGAATGATGAAGGTTCATTAAATAGTACATACCACTTTGAAGAAGGTCTACATCAATAAACTTGCCTTGCCTTGCCTTACATCCTTAGCCCTGATTTGCTGCCAAGTCCATTTCACAGTGCTGGTACTGCATAAAAAACCGATTAGGAAACAGAAAGTCCAAAGGTGTTCTAAAGACACATCTACAACTTTCAGAGCAATTGAAAGTACAATTGTTATAAATGTTGTCATATCCACAGAATACAAGGTTACCAAGCAGAACAACATTGTGTAAAACACGCACAGACACAGAAATGAATACATATATTAATGTTAGTAAAAATAAACGTATAAATATATTAAAGATACATGTGTTCTTTTTTATTCTTAACTTATATTTTTTTATTTATACACTTGTTTATTTTTTCTAGTGTTTATTTATTCCTGTATTTATATCCACATTTATTTATTGATTCCTGTATTTATGTCCATATTTATGTATTTATTTTTGCATTTATTTATTCTTGTATTTATTTATTCCTCTATTTATTTCCACAGTTATTTTTTACATACTTTGACCAACCTGGGGATTTGTGTTCAAATGAAGCCTCATGAGATGAACCCTTTTGCAAACCAATTGGCTGGAAAGCTTCATAAGGCTTCATCTCGCCATCACTAGTGATCTGTCTATTTTTCTTTGTTAAGGAGTCAAACGATGCACCAAAGCCCCCTTTTAAAAAAAGAGCAAATAGCCTTATGAAAATAACCTCATCCATAACCACCGTCCTGATACACATTATCTCTTATTAGTGTTTAAGGTATGTTACGTATTGCGCCGAGGCTTCGGAGCGTGTGTCGAGCTTTTTGTGAAGCTTGCATCGAGGCTTGCATTGTTTTGGGCCAGTGACGTCATCGATGACAAACGAAGCCTCGCTGCCTGTCAATACCACGTGACTGCTTCAGGTAGCGATTCACTATTGATTCAGATCGGTTGAACCCATGGATGTATACAGTGGCGTTTCTAGGTGTACAAAACTGGGGGGGCAGAAAGAGGTCGGGGGAGAGAGAGAGAGAGAGAGAGAGAGAGGGGGGGGACAGAGAGAGGGAGGAGAGAGAGAGGGGGGACAGAGAGAGGGGGGGAGGAGAGAGAGAGAGGGGGAGTGTCAAATTACATACTGAAGACCACAGGAGCAACACTGTGAGCGCATACATTTACGTACACAGCGTGGGGATGTCATAGTAATGCACCTTCATACATGGAGTAAAGGTCACCATCACAAAGTAATTCTTAACAATAACAACAACCGTAATGCTTTAGCATTAAAACACCATAGACTGTAAATATAAGGAAAACACAGACACTCATAATCGAGGTCACAATATCAATCGATCCAGCAGAGGCAAAACACAGAAGATCAACAAAATATATGACATAAATGAACTTACCAAAGCTGAAGGCTCACTTGAAAAGAAAAGCGGCACGGCGGTCCTTCCTCTGACAGAATGTGTCTATCACTTTGGGGATGAAGTCCTGTAGTTGCTGGATCAACTGGCTTTCAATTGAAAGCATGGCCAATACGTTAAGTCGCGGCTGTCCCATGGTGTTGCGAGTGAAAGTCTTTATCCTTTTGAGGGTGGAAAAGTTCCTCTCTGACTCGGATGTCGTCATCGGAGTTGTCACTATTATTTTGACCAAAATAACAGTCTCAGCAAACGTTTCCTCCAAGTTGTTCTCGTGAATGGATTTCAACAGAGACAGGGCAGTGTTTCCAGTGTGAAGCTCACTGTGGCGGTAGAGCGTGGTCAGCTCAGACTTCAACTTCTCCTTGTTTCCCAACGCAGGCCACAGTTTCACGGCGCAGTCAAGCTCAGGTGTAGGAAATGACAGGACATGCTGTGGGAAGAATGAGCTGTCAACAAGCTTTGCAGCGATCAAATGGTCACTCTGTGAGAACCTCTGTTCCACCTGTGAGATGACTGTGTCACAAGCCTCCTTCATCACCGGCGCTGTGCTGCTGACTCGTCGGCCTGGCTCGTCTGTTCCATCATGAGCAGTGGCGGCCAATGCATCAGTTTTCTGCCTCATTTTCTGAACATTTTCCTTGAAACGGCAGAGCGCGCTGTTGATCCCAGGTGCATCGATGCTTCGTTTTTGCAGAGTGTTGTATAGAACATCCACTTCTGGCATAAGCAACGAAAAAAACTCCAGGAGCTGCATAAATGCTCGGTCCCGCAGTTTCTTTGACAGGCCGTATGCCTCACTTATGGTGACCGCATCCCATCCTGGTTGTGCGCGTATATGCTTCATACACTGAAGTAGTGCATCTCGGGTCTCCCAAACCGCGTTCACAGTTCTGCTTTTAAAGTTCAATCTCACAGCCGGTGGCCGTGGGATGCGTCTCTGTGTTGCCTCTGCAAGAGCTGCAACACGTTTTGGAGCACCGGAGAAAAAAGTGGAAAAAGCAGTTAGATCTGCAAAAAACACCTTCAGGATGCTCATCCTTGCTGAACACAGTTGCTGCAGGGTCAGGTTCAGTTGGTGGGCGTAGCAGTGAACAAACTGAGCGTTTGGGTACGTCTCCTTCATCACCGTCTGTACCCCGCGCACGTTACCGCTCATGACGGCCGCCCCGTCATAGGTCTGAGCGATTAGCTTTTCTTTCAGCTTCAGGGGTTCCAGAACAGCCTTGATGCTGTTAGAGAGACCTACATCAGTTTTGTCCTTTACTTCCACAAACTCCAAAAAACGCTCTGTAACTGTGAGGTCAGGCATAATGTATCGCAGCACAATCACCATTTGCGATTTACAGGAGACATCGGTTGTCTCGTCGGCCTGAACGGCAACAAATGATGTGTTGTCCACTTGCTTGGCTATTTCCTCCCTGTACACATCATACATGCAGTCCAAGAGTTCATTCTGTATGGTGCTTGATGTCCCTTTGAAAACAAGCTGAGCTTCGTAGTGCCGTTGAAGCCTGGAATCGCCCTCACACATTGTCTCGAAAATTGACCTGAATATCCCTGGATTCAGAGAGTCCGCCGACTCGTTGTGGCCCCGCAGTGCTGTCTCACATTTCCCACACAGTTTAATACAGGTGATGATCCGACCAAGCACGTACCTGTTTTCTTCCACCTTCCTATTATGAGAATCAATGCCGCGTCTGTAGGCGCTGTCAATCTGAGCTGCAACATTCACCCTTCCAAGTAATCCCAATTTTACGGCATTTTCTAAATGACTGTTGCTGCTCTCATGCTTCATTGTCCTCTCCGAAAGATGCTTTAAGTCCTTGTAACCTGTCCTCGACCAAGTACCTTGATCTTCACCAAAAAGCAGGCAAGGAAAGCAAAAGAGGGAATTCTTCTGGATGCTCGCCGTTAGCCATTTCTTTTTAGCAAACCACTCAGGGTTAAACCCACGTTTAACTTTGCCCGCAGTCTGGACCATTTGGAAATCCGGTGGATGGTGGGCACCGAGGCGCTTTACCTCCAGTTTCTCTCCGAGACTAAGTGTCTCAAATGTGTGCTCCAGTAAATGGTCAACTTCATTCATTTTCTTTCAGTTTTTTACTTCTTTTAATCGCTGGTGATGTTAGCTATATGCTGCTCTCTCGTCTCCTCTTCAAACTACACGTGACGTTTCGCAGCACTGCACACGTGAGTACTTACAGCCAATCAATTCTGAATTATGTGAGATGACGTATGGTGGGGATGGGAGCACTATGCCCCTACGGTCATTATTTCTTTGCCACACACATTAAATAGAAAAATACTCTGAGCATGCGCAGTGTAGTTTTTACAATCACCGTTCACTTAGACTGTGAGAGGGAGGGGCAGGATCGGGTTTTGTCCCACATGGCTCTAAACAGCTCAAAACGGCACTCTAGACACTAATTAGAAGAACACAGACTAAAACAGAAATGTACAGACGAATCAGATTATTAAACATGACCTTAAAATATATTTTATATGTTTTTTTATTTATTTTTTAGTATTTTTTTGTAATCATTATTTGTAATACTTTCTTCTGACACTAGGTGGGGGCTGTGCCCCACCTGCCCCTAATGACCCGCCGCCACTGGATGTATAATAAGAACTGGATACAGCGTGGGAGGCGGGGCCTCATTCATTTCTATGAGAGTTGCTCATTAGCGCATGATGATAAAATGGCCCAACTTTTGAGAGAGCGAAACGTCACAGATTACCCGGCATGCCTGAGAAGTACCCGTATGTGCGCTCATAGCGCATGCGCAACTTTAACCAAAATGCTCGTTCACATCAAGCACGTCAATTTGCGTACACGTAACAGCACCGCACGTTCATGACAGCTTGGTAATGATTTGTTATTATGATGGATTTGATATTAACGAGGCGGCAGTTAGCAGCTAACTAGCTAGTAATTATGCTTATGCAACCATACGGAAGTGTAGTACCACCGTTTGGCCAGCACGAATATTTTCATCTGAGTCCGGCGCACTTCCTGGGGGCTTGGTTGAACCCTGAACCACAACGCTCATATTACCCATGGATGTATAATAAGAACCATATTACCCCTCCTGTACCCGGGCCCGGTGACACGATGGAATTAAGAGAGTTCAGACCCTCACTTATATAGAGGTCGGAACATGTCATAAGTATAAATAAATAAAAGCATAAATAAATGTAGGAATAAAAACATGAATAAATACAGCAATAAATAGTATGTATTTTCGGGTAGATTCAGTGTGTGGGCTGTGGCTCAGCTGCAAAGCAGTTGGCTCCCAACTGCAGGGTCCCTGACCCTGCATGGTTCAACGACTCGTCCATAAGTCTTTTTTTTGTTTATAACAACTACAGCTACATGAGATAATGTAGTTAATAAATGTATTCTTTGATATGGTTTAGCCTTTCTCAGGTTACAACATGGTTAAGTTTACGAATATTATTAAGGAATACAAATCCCTCTTTGCGATGTTTACCAGACTCCTTAGGCTTTTCAATCACAATAATTAAAATGGAATAAAACCAATATTGTTAACGTGAAAATATGATTTTATGTTAATTGTTTAGAGTTATTAAGGCTTTACTATTTGGGAACTCGGTATGAGATAGAGCACACTGTTGAGATGTCCAATCTGCCTGTTTTACAAACTTTGACCAACAGGGGGGTTTGTGTTCAAATGAAGCACATGATGAAGCCACATGAGATTAACCCTTTTGCGAACCAATTGGCTGGAAAGCTTCAAAGCTTCATAAGGCTTCATCTAGCCATCACTAGTTTAAGGCTTTGTAAAAGGAAAGCCTGGCTCAATCCAACTTGCTTTTACAAGAACAGCCCTCAGGTCAGCTGAGGCTCACAGACTAATCAGCACAGGTGAAATTACTCAGCTTGATTGCTGCACTGGTAAATGACGACAGGAAATATAAGCAGGCTATCATGAATAAAGTGTTCCTCATAGACACTCAACATGTAAATCAGGAAAACATTTCAAAGTTTGGTGACAGATTGCAGTAAGAATTCATGTGAAAACACATCTTTCTATTTCTTCTCATGGAAGATGAAAGCCAGACAGTGAAATAATTTAATGGACTACAAAACAAAAGTCACATCGAGAAATGTATCTGAGACATTCAACAATGTTAATAAAATGCTTTGGTTGCAAATGAAAATAAAACACAAAGAGAAAAGAATAATATTTGAGATGCAATCATCATTGGGAATTGGTGGAGGTATTTCAGAATGTATTGATTGAGTTTATATTTGTATTTAAGGCTACACATTAAGAACTGTAACCTCCTTCACATAATAATTAATTTCTACTTCCTCCAACCAGTGCCTGACACTCTCTTAATGAGCACAAGTGTTTTCAATTTGAACAATTTTGAACTACCAATCAGGAGAGACCACAGCCTACCATGTGGGTATAAAAGCTGCAGGTGAGATCTCTAACAGCTACATTTCCTTCTAGCTTCTGCTTGACGAGAGAGAAAACATGGCATCTGCAGGTCTCCAGATTTTGGCCATCTTCCTGGCAATCATCGGCTTTCTTGGAGACATCATCATCTGTGCTCTGCCCATGTGGAAGGTGTCTGCTTTCATTGGAAGTAACATTATCACGGCGCAGACCTATTGGGAGGGCCTGTGGATGAACTGCGTGATGCAGAGCACGGGCCAGATGCAGTGTAAGGTCTACGACTCCATGCTGGCTCTGCCCCTCGACCTTCAAGCTGCCCGCGCCCTGGTTGTGATCTCCATCTTGGTGGCCTTAATGGGAATCATGCTAGCCGTTGCAGGGGGAAAATGCACCAACTGCATTGAAGATGAGGAGGCCAAGAGTAAAGTAGCCATTGCTGCAGGTGTGTTCTTCATCTTGAGTAGTATCCTGTGCATCATCCCTGTGTCCTGGTCTGCCAACACTGTCATCAGAAACTTCTACAACCCCATTATGAACGATGCTCAGAGGAGGGAGCTGGGAGCCGCGCTGTTCATCGGCTGGGGAGCATCAGGTCTTATGCTGATTGGAGGTGCACTTCTTTGCTGCCAGTGCCCGAAGAGTAAGGACAGCGGATACTCAGCCAAATACTCTGCCCCATCCTCCGCACCCAGTAGAGGAGCCTATGTTTGAGTATACTTTCTAGGAAACTGGACTGACCTATAATGTTTATGCTGTTAACTTCATGATTTTTAAAGTGTTTCTACTGTTATTTTAATAAATTTTACTTTTTTATGAACCCATAACCTTGCTTGTTTTGTGGAGGTGGATCATCATCTTTAAGTGAATAGAGGTTTTGAAATGGTGGTTTGGTTATGATGGCGCCTCAGTTATTTGTTCAAAAATCTAGCTAAGCGCTCTCCAAAGTTAACAACCTGCCTTCTATCACCTGAAGTCAATTGGCAAGCTATATTTTAAAATCTACATTTAGTCTAGACAAAAATAAATCTACTACGTTGGTGAATCTAAGGCCTACTGCTGAAAGGGCTGGCCTAGCTGTGTTGCTGCTTAGCAAAGAGCCTAGCTGTGCTAAGCTAACCACCTGCTGGCTGTGGCCTCATATTTCAACACAGTCTCACGGCATTTTGTGTTATAGTCACGAAATTAATCTATTGATTTGTGTTCACCAACACGATTGTCACATTCTTTTCGCAAAAAAAGCAAAGTGATTAATAACAAATTGGAAGGAAAAAGAGATTTAAAAAAAATACATATTTCAGTATTCTGACAGAACGATTTTAGAAGCAATGTATTTATATTTGTAGTATGTTTTGTGCCTGCACCAAATAATAACAAATTAGAAGGGAAAAAAAGATACAGATTAAAGCATTCTGAGGCTCTGAGCCCCATTTCTTTTCCTCGCGGATGGCAAAAAAACTCCGACATACTATTTAAAATAAAAGGGTTAGGGTAAGAAAATGTGTTTATGAACCACACAGCTTCCGGTCTTCCAAGACCCGACTGGACAAAAAGAAGTGGTGCAGGCACGAAACATACTACCAATAGAAATACATTGCTTTTAAAATCGTTCTGTGTGACACGAAAAAAATGCGAAAATCGTGATGGTGAACACGAATCAGTAGATTAAATTAATTTCGTGACTATAACACGAAATGCCGTGAGATTGGGTTGCATATTTCCAGTGCGAGATGAAGCCTTATGAAGCTTTCCAGCCAATTGGTTGCAAAAGGGTTCATATCATGAGGCTTCATCATGGGCTTCATTTGAACACAAACCCCCTGTTGGTCAAAGTGTGTAAAACAGGCAGATTGGACATCTCAACAGTGTGCTCTATCTCATACCGAGTTCCCAATGAGTAAAGCCTTAGAATAACTCTAAACAACGAACATTAAATCATATTTTCATGTTAACAATATTGTTTTTATTCCAGTTGAATTATTGTGATTGAAAAGCCTAAGGAGGCTGGTAAACATTGCAAAGAGGGATTTGTATTCCTTAATAATATTCATAAACGTAACCATGTAGCCTGAGAAAGGCTAAACCATATCAAAGAATACATTTATTAACTACATTATCTCATTTAGCTGTAGCTTTTATAAACAACAAAAAAGACGTATTGTTCATTCGTTGAACCAGGGACCCTGCGGTCATGAGTCAACTGCTTTCCAGCTGAGCCACAGCACGCACGCTGAATTCCACCGAAAACACTGCACTATATTTATTCCTGTATTTATTCATGTTTTTATTCCTACATTTATTTATGCTTGTATCTATTTATACTTATGACATGTTCCGACCTCTAAATAAGTGAGGGTCTGAGCTCTTTTAATTCCATCGTGTCACCGGGTCCGGGTACAGGAGGGGTAATATGGTTCTTATTATACATCCATGGGTATTATGAGCGTTGTGGTTCAACGGTTCAACCGATCTGAATCGCTTCGTGAAGCAGTCACGTGGTATCGACAGGCAGCGAGGCTTCGTTTGTCATCGGTGACGTCACTGGCACAAAACGATACAAGCCTCGATACATGCTTCATAAAAAGCTTCGGGGATTACTCGACACACGCTTCGAAGCCTCGGCGCAATACGTAACATCACTAATTTCCAGCAAAGACATGATTTGATGTTGGGAAATTGTGTATTTCCTACACTTTATAACTAAGTGTTTCAGATATAAAACAACTGCCTCCAGTATTGATAAGGAAGATTCTCTCTGCAGTAAATTAAACCAGCATTACGCTGTTGAAAATATCTTTGTCTGAAAAGCATTAAGAGAACAAATATTAGATAATATTGTAGATTAATATATAAATCATTGTTGGGAATTGGTTGAGGTATTTCAGAATGTATTGATTGAGTTTATATTTGTATTTAAGGCTAAACATTTGATACAACTGTAACCTCCTTCATATAATAATTAATTTCTACTTCCTCCAATCGGTGCCTGACACTCTCTTAATGAGCACAGGTGTTTTCAATTTGAACAATTTTGAACATCCAATCAGGAGAGACCACAGCCTACCATGTGGGTATAAAAGCTGCAGGTGAGATCTCTAACAGCTACATTTCCTTCTAGCTTCTGCTTGACAAGAGAGAAAACATGGCATCTGCAGGTCTCCAGATTTTGGCCACCTTCCTGGCAATCATCGGCTTTCTTGGAGACATCATCATCTGTGCTCTGCCCATGTGGAAGGTGTCTGCTTTCATTGGAAGTAACATTATCACGGCACAGACCTATTGGGAGGGCCTGTGGATGAACTGCGTGATGCAGAGCACGGGCCAGATGCAGTGTAAGGTCTACGACTCCATGCTAGCTCTGCCCCTCGATCTTCAAGCTGCCCGCGCCCTGGTTGTGATCTCCATCTTGGTGGCCTTAATGGGAATCATGCTAGCCGTTGCAGGGGGAAAATGCACCAACTGCATTGAAGATGAGGAGGCCAAGAGTAAAGTAGCCATTGCTGCAGGTGTGTTCTTCATCGTGAGTAGTATCCTGTGCATCATCCCTGTGTCCTGGTCTGCCAACACTGTCATCAGAAACTTCTACAACCCCATTATGAACGACGCTCAGAGGAGAGAGCTGGGAGCCGCGCTGTTCATCGGCTGGGGAGCATCAGGACTTATGCTGATTGGAGGTGCACTTCTTTGCTGCCAGTGCCCGAAGACTAAGGACAGCGGATACTCAGCCAAATACTCTGCCCCACCCTCCGCACCCAGTGGAGGAGCCTATGTTTGAGTATACTTTCTCTAGGAAACTGGACTGACCTATAATGTTTATGCTGTTAACTTCATGATTTTTTTTTTTTAAAAAGTGTTTTCGACTGTTGTTTTAATAAATTATACTTTTTTATGAACCTATAACCTTGCTTGTTTTTGTGGAGGTGGATCATCATGTTTAAGTGAATAGAGGTTTTAAAATAGTGGTTTGGTTATGATGGTTCCTCAGTTGTTCAAAAATCTAGCTAAGCGCTCTCCAAAGTTAACAACCTGCCTTCTATCACCTGAAGTCAATTGGCAAGCTATATTTTTAAATCTACATTTTAGTCTAGACAAAAATAAATCTGCTACATACTCTAAACTACGTTGGTGAATGTAAGGCCTACTGCTGAAAGGGCCGGGCTAGCTGTGTTGCTGCTTAGCAAAGAGCCTAGCTGTGCTAAGCTAACCACCTGCTGGCTGTGGCCTCATATTTCCAGCAAAGACATGATTTGATCTTGGGAAAGAGTGTATTTCCCACACTTTATAACTTAAGTGTTTTAGATATAAAACAACTGCCTCCAGTATTGATAAGGAGGATTCTCTCTGCAGTAAATTAAACCAGCATTACGCTGTTGAAAATATCTTTGTCTAGCAAGAAAAAGAGAGAATTGTAGATTAATATATAAATCGTTGGGAATTGGTTGAGGTATTTCAGAATGTATTGATTGAGTTTATATTTGTAATAAAGGTGAGCTAGGTAAGTTTGAGAAACCGGCTCGAGATGCACTTTTTGTTATATTCCATGGAATGCTCTTAACATCCCGATAGCAATGAATATCTTCAGTGCTTTGACAAAAAATCCATAAAATGTCATCTGTGGAAGCCGTAGTACTGTAAAAAGCACGACCAATCATTTTAGCCGGCCCGGTTAAAATAACTGGATGGCCTATCTGCCTGTCAGCCTTCCATCTGTGCACAAACTTATCTCGTGCCCTCATTGGTCATGTGCGCGTTCGTGTGTGTTGGAGGAGGGGCTCTGTAAGGAAGTGGCAGCTTTTTTCCGGCTGTTTATTTTCAAATTGTAGCGCACTCGAGCGGGTTTCTCCAAAATTACCTACCCCACCTTTAAAGGCTAAACATTAAAAAAAAAACGAGTCCTTCACATAATAATTAATTTCTACTTCCTCCAACCAGTGCCTGACACTCTCTTAATGAGAACAGGTGTTTTCAATTTGAACAATTTTGAACAACCAATCAGGAGAGACCACAGCCTACCATGTGGGTATAAAAACTGCAGGTGAGATCTCTAACAGCTACATTTCCTTCTAGCTTCTGCTTGACGAGAGAGAAAACATGGCATCTGCAGGTCTCCAGATTTTGGCCATCTTCCTGGCAATCATCGGCTTTCTTGGAGACATCATCATCTGTGCTCTGCCCATGTGGAAGGTGTCTGCTTTCATTGGAAGCAACATTATCACGGCGCAGACCTATTGGGAGGGCCTGTGGATGAACTGCGTGATGCAGAGCACGGGCCAGATGCAGTGTAAGGTCTACGACTCCATGCTAGCTCTGCCCCTCGACCTTCAAGCTGCCCGCGCCCTGGTTGTGATCTCCATCTTGGTGGCCTTAATGGGAATCATGCTAGCCGTTGCAGGGGGAAAATGCACCAACTGCATTGAAGATGAGGAGGCCAAGAGTAAAGTAGCCATTGCTGCAGGTGTGTTCTTCATCGTGAGTAGTATCCTGTGCATCATCCCTGTGTCCTGGTCTGCCAACACTGTCATCAGAAACTTCTACAACCCCATTATGAACGACGCTCAGAGGAGGGAGCTGGGAGCCGCGCTGTTCATCGGCTGGGGAGCATCAGGACTTATGCTGATTGGAGGTGCACTTCTTTGCTGCCAGTGCCCGAAGAGTAAGGACAGCGGATACTCAGCCAAATACTCTGCCCCACCCTCCGCACCCAGTGGAGGAGCCTACGTTTGAATATACTTTCTCTAGGAAACTGGACTGACCTATAATGTTTATGCTGTTAACTTCATGATTTTTAAAGTGTTTATGCTGTTTAATTTTTAATAAATTTTACTTTTTTATGAACCCATAACCTTGCTTGTTTTGTGGAGGTGGATCATCATGTTTAAGTGAATAGAGGTTTTCAAATGGTGGTTTGGTTATGATAGCTCCTCAGTTATTTGTTCAAAAATCTAGCTTAGCACTCCAAAGTTAACAACCTGCCTTCTATCACCTGAAGTCAATTGGCAAGCTATATTTTTAAATCTACACTTTGTCTGGACAAAAATAAATCTGCTACATACTCTAAACTACGTTGGTGAATGTAAGGCCTACTGCTGAAAGGGCCGGGCTAGCTGTGTTGCAGCTTAGCTTAGCAAAGAGCCTCGCTGTGCTAAGCTAACCACCTGAGGCTGTGGCCTCATATTTCCAGCAAAAACATGATTTGATCTTGGGAAATCGTGTATTTCCCACACTTTATAACTAAGTGTTTCAGATATAAAACAACTGCCTCCAGTATTGATAAGGAAGATTCTCTCCGCAGTAAATTAAACCAGCTTTACGCTGTTCAAAATATCTTTGTCTGAAAAACATTAAGAGAAAAAATAATAACATTGTAGATTAATATATAAATCATTGTTGGGAATTGGTTAAGGTATTTCAGAATGTATTGAGTTTATATTTGTATTAAACGCTAAACTTTAAAAAAATTGTAACCCTCACATTAATTTCTACTTCCTCCAATCAGTGCCTGACACTCTTAATGAGCACAGGTGTTTTCAATTGTAACAATTTTGAACATCCAATCAGGAGAGACCACAGCCTACCATGTGGGTATAAAAGCTGCAGGTGAGATCTCTAACAGCTACATTTCCTTCTTGCTTCTGCTTGACGAGAGACATTGTTGCTTCTGCTTGACGAGAGACATTGTTGCTTCTGCTTGACGAGACAGAAAACATGGCATCTGCAGGTCTCCAGATTTTGGCCATCTTCCTGGCAATCATTGGCTTTCTGTGGGACATTGTCATCTGTGCCCTGCCCATGTGGAAGGTGAGTCATTTCATTGGAAACAACCTTGTGACGGCGCAGACCTATTGGGAGGGCCTGTGGATGAACTGCGTGATGCAGAGGAACACTGGCCAGATGCAGTGCAAGGTCTACGACTCCGTGCTGGCTCTGTCCCTCGACCTTCAAGCTGCCCGCGCCCTGGTTGTGATCTCCATCTTGGTGGCCTTAATGGGAATCATGCTAGCCGTTGCAGGGAGACAATGCACCAACTGCATTGAAGATGAGGAGGCCAAGAGTAAATTAGCCATTGCTGCAGGTGTGTTCTTCATCGTTAGTAGTATCCTGTGCATCATCCCTGTGTCCTGGTCTGCCAACACTGTCATCAGAAACTTCTACAACCCCGTTATGAATGATGCTGAGAGGAGGGAGCTGGGAGTTGCGCTGTTCATCGGCTGGGGAGCATCAGGACTTATGCTGATTGGAGGTGCACTTCTTTGCTGCCAGTGCCCGAAGAGTAAGGACAGCGGATACTCAGCCAAATACTCTGCCCCATGCTCCGCAGCCAGTGGAGGAGCCTATACTTTCTCTAGGAAACTGGACTGACCTATAATGTTTATGCTGTTAACTTCATGATTTTTAAAGTGTTTCTACTGTTTAATTCGAATACATTTTACTTTTGTAAGAACCCATAACCTTGCTTGTTTTGTGGAGGTGGATCATCATGTTTAAGTGAATAGATGTTTTAAAATGGTGGTTTGGTTATGACAGCTCCTCAGTTATTTTCTCAAAATCTAGCTAAGCGCTCTCTAAAGTTAACAACCTGCCTCCCATCACCTGAAGTCAATTGGCAAGCTATACTTTTAAATCTACATTTAGTCTAGACAAAAATAAATCTGCTACATACTCTAAAACTACGTTGGTGAATGTAAGGCCTACTGCTGAAAGGGCTGGGCTAGCTGTGTTGCTGCTTAGCTTAGCAAAGAGCCTAGCTGTGCAAAGCTAACCACCTGCTGGCTGTGGCCTCATATTTCCAGCAAAGACATGATTTGATCTTTGGAAAGAGTTTTTCCCAGACTTTATAAGTGTTTTAGAGATAAAACAACTGCCTCCAGTATTGATAAGGAAGATTGTTTCTGCAGTAAATTAAACCAGCTTTATGCTCATGAAAATATCTTTGTCACACTGAACATTACTTAACGGGTAATTTCATACTCTTTTGTTCCCCTAAACTATGTGGTCATTTAAGTAGGATGCTTCTCTCCGAAACTGAAGCATTTATTTAGAATCTCAGGATTTAAAGTGATTGCTAAAGTTTGACCTGCAGATATAAGTTTTCATTTACTCAAAATTGTTACATTTGTTACTTCAATCCGTAAAACTGTAAAGCCTTTTGTTTGGGTCACAAAGCAGTCTTTCATACATGAGCGCTTTTGTTAACAGCTTCCTCCTCCTACATAGTGAGCCGGAATCAGGACAAGCAGGAAACCTGATCCACAAACTAGCAAGTCCCCTCCCTTTTGCTCTTACACCTGCATTGCAAAACCAGAAAGCAAAACACAGCCACTGCTGCGTTTACAGTCGGGTGAAAGCTTGTGATTTAAAAATGATCTTCAGCTTAACTCTAGGAGGACTTTGTTGCTCTCTTTGACTTTGTGGCAAACTTAAATACGTGCCTTGGATTTGTTTTTTGGCAGAATGCAGACACAAATTGTTGGTGTGTGTTTGGGAATCATCGGCTTTTTTGGCACCATCCTTATCTGCGGATTGCCCATGTGGAAGGTGACGGCCTTTGTTGGGGCAAACATCATCACCTCTCAGGTCTTCTGGGAAGGTTTATGGATGAATTGTGTCATCCAGAGCACGGGTCAATCTCAGTGTAAGGCCTACGACTCCGTTCTGGCTTTACCACAAGACCTGCAGGCTTCCAGGGCTCTGATCTGCGTCTCCATCGCTGTCTGCGTGGTGGCGATCGGGCTCACTGTGGTCGGGGCCCGCTGCACCAACTTCTATGATGATGACAGGCGGAACAAAGCTAATATTGGCGTGGCTGGAGGTGTGGTGTTTATTATAGCAGGCCTCCTGTGTGTTATTCCTGTCAGCTTGTCGGCGCACAGCATCATCACAGGTTTCTACAATCCTCTGCCCACCTCGGAGAGGAGGGGGGAGCTCGGGGCCTCCATATATGTGGGCTGGGCGTCTGGAGCTCTGCTCATCATTGGAGGAGGGGTGCTGTGTAGCACCTACAAATGCTGAGGGCCAGGAGAAGAGAGAAACGGAGAGTACAGGGCGCCTTTCGTCAAATACTGTAGTTGAATATGTGCAGTAATGTGTTTACTGTAATGGACTTAATCTAGAGTTATTCAACCTTCGTCAAATGCAATAATGACAGTTTATCTCTTATCTGTGTAAATTATTAAAGTGTGTAGCAAATGTGGAGTGAAAAGTTAATGGCATGACCAGGGAATGCAACTTTTATGGTTGTTTTTAAAGTGAAGGATGAACAAATGAAGTTAAGTTGAGCCAATAATTGTATAATGTGATATTATAGGATGTTTGATACAGAGATCTGAGTTTATGTAATCATTTTATATTTGTGAAGAACACTGTATAGACGATGCAAGAGTCATCCGTTGGAAATATGATATGTGGAGGTATAGCTTTAAGAATCTTAAAACAGAACAATCTTGATCAAAGTTATTTTTTACTCGTTGTGAAATTAGTTGAATTACATGGAAAAAACTAAACATTTCTCTGGTAGACTTTTTCAAATCTTTTCCCCTAGTATTGAGTAATTGAACAATGTGTTTGGCATGCTTTGCCAACATGCTTTTTATGTTAACAAACCATTAAATTCACTTTGTATATTTGTTTAAAAACTTCTGCATTATTGTCTCTAACATTATTAAAGCAACTGAATAATGTTTTCAAGTTTAAATGCAAGAGAAGTAATTGTAACCTCGAGGATAACCTGTTCTCTTTATCAGCCATTTCAGTTTGAAAGCCTGAAGAACTTGCTATGTTTGTAGCTCAGTGGTGTTTGAATACTCTTTGTAAATGTACCCTCCTGGACCATGTTTACATATCCTTGTTAGTCTTTGTGTCGTCTGACTTCTGAACTCAACAGCTGATCAAAGCTGCTTACAATCTATTTCAGCAGAACCAAGAAAAGAGACGGTCACAGTTGAACATTTTGTGAATTAGATTTGGTTTTAACTTTTTGCTTCATAACTGAATGTCTTCAAATGGCAGGGCAGTGTTTACAAGTCGGGGGTTTGACCCTGGTTCAAATAAGGTGTTTTAGGAGTGTGTTCGACATGTGGACTGCCGATGTGGCTTCGGACATCTTTTGTGGGAGCAAAGGCACAATTAGTGAATTGATTTTGTGCATCTCAGATACGTTTTATGTCACCCCCCACAAAACTTTCGCAAGTTAAATTTCATCATCAACCATGTTTTTTTCACTAAAACAAATACACTTTACACTTGAAATAATATTTCTGAATCAGCTAAACAAAAAAGTTTGAAGACGTCAAAGTCGTGCAAACTTTGACACGTGAAAATGCTGCATTGCATTGAAAAAGCTCAGTTTCCTCTATATAACTTAAACATCATGACTAAAAATAAAATACCAAAATAATCTGAAGTATGCACCAATACATGTAATTGTGCATATAATCTGTAAAAACATGACTTTAACATATTTAAAACTTAAAGTTACCAAGCAACCTGTTGATAGTACATTTTTCTATAAATGTTCAAAATTGAGACAAATTTGTTTCTGTCTTAGGTGTGGGCTGGTCTGTGGGTAAACTGTATCCTTCAGGACACAGGGCGGATGGAGTGCAGTAGACACACGTCCATCACCAAAGCCGCTGATATCCGGGCTGGACGTGCCCTCCCACTGATCTCCATCTTCACCGGCCTGCTGGGCTTCGTAGTAACGCCCCTCTGAGGAGGCGGAAACAACTGCAGTGATGCCACACCTGATCCCTCAGAGCCTCCGACCACCTCTTCATTCATGAATAAAGGTGCAGAAGTTTAATTCAAATCATGAAAAGAATGGGTGTTTGGGGATCTGAAAGGAAACTGTATTGTTGATAATAATATATATCATGGCAAAGTACTTTTTAACATTTTACTGTCCCAGAACAATGAAAATGGAGGGCATTTAAATTTGAAGAAACACAAAATGATGTGGAATCACTGAATAGGAATAGTGTCGGGTTAAAGTGGCTAAGATTTTACTTATTTTTTGTCAATATTATTTGCTCAATCAATACAAAACACAAGACCAAAAGTTAAACGCTTTTCTCCACACCTTCAAATCCCCTTTAAATTATGTATTTCAGTTGCATCCAAATGTTTGGAAATAATAAAATAATATACTTTTCTGCTTTTGATTTGAGTAACTGCCTGTAGAGTGCACTGTTTAGGTCAGTGCATGGAAGGCTACACTTTGACATGTATTGCAACACTGGACAAATGCTGGAAATGTGTGTCTGTTGACTACTACTGTGGCCTTAATATAAAACCCACCTTGACACCGATATGTACTGCTATTCATCATTCTTACACAAACAACTTCAGAAGTGCACGGAATCACTGATCATTGATGTTCAATATCACTGATATCCTCTGTTTTTTCAGGTGTATCTACTCGGTGGAGCTCTGTGTGTCCTAGCTGGTGTCCTGTGCCTGGCTTCAGTCAGATGGTCGGCAGTAGCAACCATCTCAACCTTCAAATACCCCTCAGTGACTGCGGGCATGAAGAGGGAGGTGGGCTCCTCCATCTACGTCGGCTGGGCCTCCTCCATGCTGCTCCTGCTCGGCAGTGCTGTGATGTGCTGCGTCTCTGGGGAGAGAAACCCATCTTCCTACTCCAACGCTGTATCCAGCACCGACACTCAATCGCTTTTGTTTTATGTTATAGAACCAGACGTGAGGTTGTTTGACGCGGCAGCCATATTGCCTGAGCGCAACTCTCTGAATATACATCATACTGGGCTGTGGGGCATTATGCATTACGTCTAAGTTTCTGTTGATATGTTAAAGAATGATCATTTTCTAATTAATTAATTTGGATAGATCAATACTCATTCCTCAGGATGCCTGTTTCACAAGCGTCGGCCCTTTGGTGGGTATTACAAATTCAAGAAGTCCAGACAACTTTATTTCTAATTCTAGCGGAGTTTCTTAATTTAGTAAATAGGTTTGAACATTAAACACATCATAAACCTCAATGAAAAACTGGAACAATATGACACAATACATACTAACATTGTGAAATATTAATATTTCAGCACATTTAAAGCTACTTATTTGGAAATGATCAGAAAACCTTTTATTCAGTTGTACTCTTCTTTCAACACACATTGAATAAAATCATGAGTCAGGTTTCACATTCAGAACTTTTTCCTTTTCTTCCTCCACAGATATTATTTGAATACATGTTGTGATTAAAAAACATGTGGATTTATACATAAGCATGTTCAGCTAAGTTCTTTTTTATCATGTCGAATTCAAAGGACAAACAGAAATTGTATCAGTTCTTGATTCATATATACATATACTTGCTGTTGCGATACTGACATTTTAATTTTATAAAATGTAAAATCCCACTCTATAAGAAAGACCATTTTCATTTCAGATTCACTGCAGATTCGTCTTATATGCAGGACTGGAGAAAAGACTTCCTCAGTATTCATTTATTTTCTTTAATTTTGATCAACTACAATGAGTCAGCTCCTCCTAAATGCCACGACAAAGTGCTAAATTGTCACATTGTGTTCAAGGACAATCTTTGCAGCACAATGCAACACATAGCTGCTGCAAGACAGTTAATACTGACCACATCTCTGTGGCTGACCTCCATCTGCTAGAAGGAAATGGGAGAATGCTGTCATGTGAGCATTCAGCACCTTCATGTCATCACTCTGTACCAGTATCGATAGGCAGTAATCACTCAGGAAGTGTGGAAGAGTATCTCTGAACATTTACATTCACTGTGAATGAATGTCACATATTTCAGAACTTCTGTAAAAATGTTGATTTCTTAAGAGGAAATTCTTAACTTGTGGATTTAGGAAGTTATTTTGTATTTAAAAGTTATATGAATGAAAAAACAGCATTAGTAATAAATTTAAACTGTGTGCTCTCACAGGTGTGAAAAACACTCTAATTTCCTTTCAAATTTATCAAAAATAAACGTACATACATCCAGTGACATATAGTCACATGGTAGGTCCCTCTTGTAGAATTTGTATCTGTCAAAAAACAAAAGACTGTCTTAATTACAAGTGAATCATTTAACATTTAGGTTGTGTTTTTAAGGGGAAAATAGCTTGACTGTTGAATGTTTTTCAGTTATTTTACCTTTAAAGGGGCCCCTGCGTCACACTATCGGTTGAGAAGCATCTCGTCAAGTGAGATTTCTTCACAAACTAGTTTCAGCTGAGAGGAAACCGAGGTAAAACCGGGTAAAACCCTCCTCTGATTTCTCCCTCAACAACTAAACCTGTAAGTGAGGCAGCCACATTCAACTTCTCCTTCAAGTGGGCAATACAAACCTCGACCGGCTCCTTTGTCGGCCTCATAGATAAATAACTCACTCTGCAACACAGTCTTCAGACAGAGCTTCATCATGGTGTCCAGTGGAAGACAGATTTTCGGATTTATCCTGGCTATCATCGGCTTTTTGGGGAGCATCGTCATCTGCGCTCTTCCCACCTGGAAAGTCACAGCCTTCATTGGTGCCAACATCGTCACTGCTCAGGTGATCTGGGAGGGTTTGTGGATGAACTGTGTGACCCAGAGCACGGGCCAGATGCAGTGCAAGATCTACGACTCCATGCTGGCTTTGCCTCAAGACCTCCAGGCTTCCAGGGCACTCGTCATCATCGCTATCATCGCAGGCTTCTTTGGGCTAATTCTCGGCTTGGCAGGGGGCAAGTGCACCAACTTTATAGAAGACGAAACGGAAAAGAGCAAAGTGGCCATCGCTTCAGGAATTATCTTTATCATCGCAGGCGTCATGGTGCTGATCCCCATCTGCTGGACTGCCAACACCGTCATTCGTGATTTCTACAACCCCGTAATGTCCAACGCTCAGAGGAGGGAACTGGGGGCCTCGCTGTACCTCGGCTGGGCCTCCGCAGGGCTGCTGATCCTGGGCGGGGGGCTCCTCTGCAGCTCCTGTCCCCCCAGAGTTGAGAAGGACTACGATGTGAAGTACGCCAAGACTCGCTCTGAGCACAGCAGCAAGGCCTACGTTTAGATCTACAGCAGGAAGCAGAATTGGGACAATCTGTTTTAAAGAAATAAGAGTTTATATACGTTTCCCTTTCTGTTTGACCCATGAAGTTAAGTCACCATCTAGAATGACAATGCTCATAATGTGTTCAAGTAAATAATGATGAGTGTGTGGCTTTAGCACAGGTTTTTGTCTTTTGGACGCAAGTTGTTGTCTTTAGAAAGTTTAGAATATTTGCAGTTTTGTATTTCTCTATATGTGACTATTCATTTGTAAAATACTCTCACGTGTTCCATGATGTGTGAGATTTAAAATATGCCTGCTATATATTAAAGCTGCCTGTGTATTACATATTTTCTGTCTAAGACTGATGTTTTAACCCCTCTATCAAACTAGACGATTGATGATTATGTGACTGATTCACAATATCTGTTTAAGTTATAATTGTCTTCAGATTTTATCTCTGTATTAATGTATAACGTTAAAATGCAAGTCATTTATAATGTATTGTTTTTTCAGTTATGACAAATGCCTTGCTGAGCAGTGGATCTGTTTTTTCAAGTGTTCATGACAGAATCCTTGTAAACAGGTTGTGTGAAAATGTGTGCATACGAGCCAAAGAAATGTTGCTAAATAAAAAGAATGAGCCATAACTGTGTGTGTCTGTTTGTAGTATTATTTATTTGTATTATCTTGTTGGAGTGATCCTCTGTAAACATTTGCATGATGGAGAGGAAATAATATTACGAAAAAAGGTATATTTAGTTTATAATTACTTTGTTTGTGGAAATATTAATTGACACAAAAACATATCCCATAACTTTATTTTAAGCCTCATTAGAAGATGTTCCATCACATAGAGACAAGAACACTGAATGCACCGTTAGTAGTAAAAAAGGTGATGTCTCACTCATTATTTTTCTATTGATTTGATCAAATTCTATGTGTGTGTGTGTGTGTGTGTGTGTGTGTGTGTGTGTGTGTGTGTGTGTGTGTGTGTTTGTGTGAGTAGGGAGTGGTTCTGCATGTTTCAAACAGGTTTAACTACAGACTGGCCACTGCTATGAAACAGGTTTTGTCTCCCAGGAGATTGTGTTTCACATCTTTCTCCCTTTGTTACATGAATGCAGGATGTGTATAACACACACTGAGCCCCAACAAGTGTTACATTTCTGAATAGAATCAGATTTGCAATCCATTTTCTGTGAGTATGCAGGGAGATGGTGTGTGAACAATATAAGATGTGCATCTCATAAAATGATGATTGCCCAGAGGCCTATCATTCTTTCTGCTTCATCCAGAGCTTTTAGTTTCCAAAATAATCTCGTCAGACCAAGATAATGAGGGAGGGAATAGATGATGTCACAGTTTCACAGCTGCCTCTCTCTCTCTGGCCCTCTCTGTTTTCCTCTCATCCTCCTCCCCCTTTTGTTTCCCTGTAGAGTAGGTGTGGTGCATCCACACCTGAGCAGCCAGTAGCACACAGGCAGCCTCTCAGATGACAGACGAGAAAGAGCACTCTCAGGTACAGAAATAAGAAGAGAGAGGGAGGAGGGGACAGCACTTATGGATATGAGGTAGGAGTGACAGAGACAGAAGACAAGCTGGCTGTAAACAAATACACTGAGGCTGAACACAGACACACCTGGAGTCGCGTTAAAGCTGCTGGAGGCTGGAGGCACAGCAGAAATACTCGCATTCCTGGGACTGATACAACATTACAACTCAGGCAAGAACGAAATGGAGGCTGTGAAAAACGCAACATTTCACATTGAGAAAGACTGACACAGAAAGAAACAAGAGGAGAGTCGCAAGGAGCTAGAGCAAAAGAAGCTCCACAGAGAAGAATAACAACTTTAGAGCACTTTCAAGGGTCTGTGAGAATTCCCCCCTCCACCTCGACGTCATGGCCTCCACAGGGATGCAGATGCTGGCCAGCACCTTGTGCCTCCTGGGCTGGGCAGGGGTCATCATCAGCTGCATAATGCCAACATGGCGGGTCACGGCCTTCGTGGGAACCACCATCGTCACCTCGCAGACCATCTGGGAGGGCATCTGGATGACCTGTGTGGTGCAGAGCACGGGGCAGATCCAGTGTAAACCTTATGATTCTCTCCTTGCTCTCAGCGCAGACCTACAGGCGGCCAGGGCTCTCATCGTCCTCGCCATCGCCACGGGCGCCGCAGGCCTCATTTTGGCCTTCGTCGGAGGGAAGTGCACGCGTTTTTTGGACGAGGAACGAGGCGGGGTTAAGGGCAAGGTGGCTGTAGCAGCAGGGGTTGTTTTGATTGTAACAGGGCTGCTGTGTTTGATCCCAACCTCGTGGGCGGCAGGGTCTGTGGTGAAGAAATTCTACAGCGCCACCATAGATGCTCAACGTAGGGAGATAGGAGCCTCCATCTACATCGGCTGGGGAGCGTCCATCCTGCTTATGCTGGGAGGGGGGTTGTTCATCAGCTCAGCATGCCCCCTCAAAGCAAACGAAGCAGACAAGAGCCCTTCTGTCCGCTATTTGGTGGTCCGCTCCTCCAACGGGTCCACCAAGCCAGGTTCCCAAGGCAGCAGAGTACCAGCAGCAACATCTCAGCCTGTCGGAGGTCTTCCAAGGTCTCAAGGCTCATCAACAAAACCTCCTCTGTACACAAGGCCGCCCTGGCAGGACCAGCCGGACCAGGGCTCGAGGCTGGAGTCCGAAAAATCATGGGCCCCATCGACAAAGTCTCAGATGAAAAGACTGGACTCTGCAAAGTCTGAACACAGTGATGTGCCGTCTACGAAGTCTCAGCTAAAACGAGCAGAAGAAGAGAATGTATCAGTTGAGAGTGGCAATGAGGATGCATCCTCAAATCCAACGAGGACATACCTATGAAATAAAATCACACATGCGTACTTAAGTTTACCACACATTACAAACTTTTTTATTTTAAGGGTGATTTAGAAGAGGTAGTTTACTTTTTGTGTGACTGTTTACTGATGAAGAATAGTTGATTGGATTTACATACCGTTTTTGTATACTCCACCGTGTTGCTTTTTTTAGAGGACAAACGGGAAAAGTATAGTTTAACTATTCATCCATATGAAGGAGAATAGCAGCTTGTTATGTGCACTTAAACTGAACCTAAAACAAAGTGCAGTGTCAAATAAAAGTAGGTTAAAGTAAGTATGCATTTGTTTTATGGAATTGAACGTTGGCATTATTTTAAGTTCAATTTAAGATGTATAGCATTACACCTGTACCAGTTTTTGCTCTGACTGTTTCAATGCACTAAAATGATAATGAATCCGTCTGTGTTATGAATTTTACCTCAGACTTTTTAGTTTGTTGGTTTCTGCTTGATGCACAGTAACCTGAATGCAACATAAGAAATGAAGAAACAAGATATTTTTGCCCTTTTTCTATCATTCATTTATATTGATTGGATTGTATTTTTATTATTCATGTGAGCGATCATTTGATGAGCTGTACGACAATGAAAAACTCAACTTATTGAAATGTAAAGGTTACACTTTTTGGATTTAGCTTCTGCTTTTTGTTACAACTGTGAAAAGTTTTGTATTTTATTTGTACACATGTGACTATATAATTGTATGTTAACGTCTCAATAAATGACTTAAATGTATATAATTTGATTGAGAAAGTATTTTTCCCCTGATGTCACAAATGACCTGAAAAGAGCCTTTCCTTTCGAGTACACAGCATCCCCTGGCCTTTCATTCCTCTCCCTTTAAATCTACAGGACAAACTGGTTTGACAGAGAGTGTGTTTACAACAGGTGAGCAGGGTGAGATGCACAGTGTGTTTGTAGAGCATTCAAACTTAGTTTCAGTGGGTTTTGCTTATTCAAATGTGCAGTATCTAGTCATATTATAAAGCTGCTAAATTTGACTTCAGGAATAATATGTGTTGGATTAATACATGACATACACCTGTACAATTGGAACTACATAGATAAGAAATAAATACATGTTGTAAGGTAGGCTAATGCAAAAATAAAACTGCACTAAACAAGTCAATATTTAAAAAAAAAAAGAAGTGATTTAGGTTTGAGCAATATTTGGCTGTAATCCATGACTACCTGTTTGGCAACTCAACCATAGGATTGATATATTCAGGTTGTCTCATAGTTTTATGAAACCCTGCCATCTAGTCATTAGTGTACACCAGTGGCGAACCGTCAGGGCCTTCAAGGTATTCAGAGAATACCCTGGAACACTCAGATAAAACAAACAAAAAAATCGATTTAATTATATAAATAAAATGTAATAACATTGATATAAAATGAATACATGAATATCGTATCTGTGTTGTTGATCTGTAATATTACAGTGTTACGTTGATTTGTTTCTCCTTCTCGGACCATGCACTACGCATTTAAGTGGTTTTGTGTTAGAAAAGAAAGCAACCAATCAGATCTTGTTCTGGGTCTCTGGGTAGAATATCCTTCAACCAAGGTATTCTACATCCTTGATCGAATGCCCTGGCCGTTGCACTGAATGAGAGCGTACGTTTGGACTGACAGTTTGATCAGCCAATCATATATTCATTTGTAGCCAATGGGCGTATTCTTTCAGAGTTTCCCTCGGTTCCAGGGTATTCTAGAAGGCCCGCTAGTTAACTGGCTCGAGACAGAGGATGCGACGAAGCAATTCATGCCGTTTTATTGTTTTTAACGTTGAAATGACAAGTGCAACAGGTGAAGATGAAGTTGTTGCGGAATTGTTGTGAGTACCCTTTTCAAGACGACAATTCAGTGAAAAGACGCGGACATTATAATGCCGCGGAGGGGGGGGGGGGGGGGGGGGTGTGTGTGTCTACAGAAGGTCCAGTTGTGATAGCCACGGTTCGCCACTGGTGTACACACATCAGACTCGGCAAGATAAAATTGCCCAACAATAGATCTATCCCCAATCTACCGGCAGATGTATTACAGCCCAATTAGGAAGATGTATCTAGATTCAACATCTACTGCTTTGAACTTGCCACAAAAAAAAAGAAACAACTTTCTGTTGTTAGTGTGTATTATCACACAGACACAGTAATATGTGTACAAATAAAACTTGTGTTGCTTTGGTACTTTGCTGCTGGACAGTACACATGAGCATGTTTCTTGTAAGTCTGTAAGTTCAATTTGCATCACCATCGTCACCCTACATACCACTAAATCAATTACTAACACTAAAGTAGTGTTGATACAAGACAAGTTGCCCCGTTTTCTATTGTCTATGATACATTACAGACATGACATGACTGTTACTGACCTTTATAAGTTTGATCCAGATTCACATCATTTACAGTAAGTGAACATCACTGCCCTGCAGGTAACGTTTATATATGGAGACAAACACTTAAAACAAGCAACACTTAAATGACTCTTTTATTTATTTGAATATTGCTGTTATGTGATGAAACAAGAGGAACATCAGATTCAGAATAACATATTTGATACGTGTGCAAACAATTGTAGAACTACATCAGAATTGTAAGAGTAGCATCTTAAGAATCAAAGTGTATCAATAAAATCAGAGTTGGTGACAAATCAAACACTCAGCAGCCTAAATAACAACATCCTCACAGTGGGAAGAGAAGAGCTCCACTGAAGGTGCTCTGGTTACTGCCGTCGTCATACAGAACGTGGGTAGCCGGGAGAGCCAGGTGAATTTCATCTCCTGCCATCAACTCCAAGATAACAGAGTTAGTGAAATACTTATAAAGTTGATCTTCCTTCCACTCCACATTGAACATAATCTTCTGGTTGTTCTTGTACACATATACACCCATAAGACCTGTGTGGTAACCACACACAGTGAACTGGAAGTAGTAGACTCCTTTGACTGGTGCTTTGAAGAAACCTAAAGAGTAGAAAAAGGACACTTTAGATAGGGTTAAATGACCACATATTGTCATGTCACCCACAGAACATTACCTGTACCTGCATTGTAAGCATTGCCAATGTTGGTGAAGACCTTGCTGAATTTCAGTGTGGTGTCCGTGGTGAATGGGCCGACATATCCTGCATCAGTCAGAGCTGTGTAAAAGGCCACCTTCGTGTTCGCTGTTAACAAAAAGAGTCAATGCATGATATTGTTAACTTGACCAGGACTAAAAAGGTTTGTGTGTGTGTGGTGTGTGCGTGACTGTGTGTGTGTCTGTGTGTGTGTGTGTGTGTGTGTGTGTGTGTGTGTGTGTGTGTGTGTGTGTGTGTGTGGTGTGTGTGTGTGTGTGTGTGTGTGTGTGTGTGTGTGTGTGTGTGTGTGTGTGTGTGTGTGTGTGTGTGTGTGTGTGTGTATACAGAGATTACAATCTTCACCTTTATTTAAATTCTCCAGCTTGTCAATCCTTTTCATGCTATCAAGAAGTTCCCTCTCACTGCTGGTCAGTCTTCGCGCCATCTCTGAAATGAATGCAACAGAGTGAATAACAGAGTTGCAAACTGCTAACATGCAGAACAAATGATATACAGTATGTTGATACTCATCTTATCTGTTGAGCCAGCACTCAAATGATGAGTTCACACACGTCAATCAAACTAAAAAACATAATCAACACTGAACGGGAAAAGTGAAAACTCAGTACCTGAGTTATCGTGTTGCAGCATCTGCACGTACACCTTGAGCATCACCACCATGTCTCTCAATTCCTTAATTTCTGCCCAGATGTCAGGTGAGGTTGTGTTTGTGGTCTGCTGGGTCCATTCCTCCTGAAGCTCGCTGCTCTCACCCTCCTCACCGAGGCCTCCACTCTCCCCCTGAGCCCCGGACCCACACAGGCCTAGCAGCAACACCAGCAAACCAAAAGCAACCCTCATTCTCGAGTTATAGGCACAGGCACAGGGGTGGAGATCTTATATACTGTAGTCTCCAAACTTCAGCTGGCTGAGCGAATGGGAAAAGCAACAATTGTTACTGTTTGATAGTCTCATTCAAGGTGAGAAAATTCAAGTTGCTTCAGGCTGGTGGAACACTTTTACCGTGATAAGCGCTTTTTCAGTCACAGCTGTGCATACACAGAAAACACACACAATCAAACAACAGTTTCGTCAGACCTTTTAGATTGGCTGAGGATCATCAGAGAAGGGAGTCAAACTTTTTCCTTCACTGTTCTCTCAATAGCCTACATTTATAAAATACCGTTCTGTGATAGTTGCATTATTTCATCATGATTTCTTTCATATATATAATTTGTTAAATCACATAACACCCATATACGGTTCATATCTGTTCTCTTAAGTGCTCTGGTGTTAACACAAACAATTTGGACAGCAAAGATGCATCAGATTAAATATGGTCAGGTTTCAGAGAATCATAGATTCCCTCACAATGGATATAAGGTAGAAACCTCCTCGAGCATTTGAGTAACATTTCTTTTGTCATGTAAGCCTACCTTAGATTCACATAAATGATATACCTTGAGATCAAGACAATACAAAATATAAACAACAGTACCTTTTTTTTGAGACCACTAGAAATCCTTGTGGCTGAGGCTTTATTTGGCATCAAATCACATAAGTGCTGAAATCATCAAAATTATCTTCCACAATTTAAATGTTGATACTAATGGTACACAATAACATTAATAACACAACGTATAGTAAATACATCTGTACAAGTTTGAAGTTTGAGTCTTTTCAGAAACCAATCTTACTGCAATATGTAGCATGGATATTTAGTCATAAACATTTCATATCTTAAATGTATTCCTGTGAATAAAGCTTCCCATCTTTAATTTCAGGATTGTCAGGGACGGACAATGTCAAAAATGTTGTCCAAACATTCTTTTTTAAGTGTATACACTATACCTTTTGAATATGTTTTACCTTCTTGAGGTGTTTTGTACATCTACCTTTACTACTATAGTTGTAGTCTCTTATAGAGGTACACAACACCAGGTATGTATCCGTCCTCATGCTCTGACACTGCTCGCTCCCAGTCTTCCACCTCAGAGACCTCCACACACGTCCACAGACCATCGGCCTCCATCTGCTTCAGCTCTCGCTCCAGGGCCTCTTTGTATTCGACATTGTCCTGGTTTCTTCTGGTAGTCATGCAAACGTAGCCACCTGGTGGAAACAGGTAAGAGTGCAGTGGTGTTTTTGAAGGATCTAAAGTTACCAAAAGTGAAGACATAATGATGCACAACCGATGATCTGAGCTGCATTTGATGCAAAATACAAAAAAGACTCTTACCTGGTTTGGTGCACTTGCACAACTGTCTGACGACACCAACCGGGACCTGACCATCACTCAGAGCTCCAACAATCACAACCACATCAAACGAACCTGCAGGAGAAAAAGAAAGGGAATAGGTGCAGAGTAAAGAAGTAGACATATTAATAGCCATAAAATCATGTCAGATAGAGTCTTGCCCAAAATGTGTTTCTAAAGTAGAGCTCACCCAACCCACTTGAGAATAGCCTTTAGAATCACAGTGATAAATTACATCTTAAATAATTTAAATCATTGTATTACCACACTGGACAGGTAGTTGCCCCTCTCCCAGCATGCACTGCTTCAGGTCCTGGTACAACCCGCTCTCTCTGGTCGAGTCCAACATAGCCTCACTTCCATCAATACCCACAAAGTGTCCAAATCCAAGTTTCTTCATCTGGACAACAGAGACAGTTCTGGTTGTTTATCGGTTATACTCGTCAACTCAGTATAACATGGAAAACATTTAAGAATAGGTAATGTGCTGTTCAAGACACAAGACAAAAAAGAGAACATGTTTTAAATAAAGGTTTTTGATGTAAACAAGAGAATCACTTTTGAATTCAATTGTGATAATAAATATTCACAAACCTACAGGAACATGTTCAAGAAGAGAGGAGATTGAGTAGAAATCTTCTAAAGTTAAACAAACTAAACATCAATCTAAAATAATAGAATATTTTCTAGTTTTATATTTTGTAAAATATTAAACTAAATATTACTGTATTCAGACCTTAAGTATGCAGTTTTGATTCTGACTAGGGTTATATAAATGCATGAGTTTGTTCTCTATCTTGGGAATGTACCTGTTTGGCCACCAGTCCAGTACCACAGGCCACATCTAACACTACAGCTGCTCCACGATCACCGCTGAAATGGGAGGAGACGCAGTTTGCTGCCAGGCTCGGTGCCCGGTACTCCAGAACTGCCATGTCCTACTCAAACCAATGTTTACAAGGAACAGTGGCTTTTAGCACAGACAAAGAAAGTAAACAAGAGCACTGCCAAACCAAATCTGTCAAGATATAGGGGGGGGAAAGGTTGTATTATTGTTATTTTTTTGGACTGAACAATTTTACTTAGTATTTCTTTTCACTTGTTGTTTCCCTTCATTTCTGCAAAGAAATATACTAAATAAGTAAGTTACTTTCTCATAGATGTAACCACAAAAAAATACTGCCAATAGTTCACTTTTATTGTACATCAGTTACCTCACCTGATCATAGTTCTCTGCCCATGAATTGTAGAAGTCCACCTTTTCTGCCAACGTGGTGCTTTTATGAGCTGATAAGATATTTGCTTTCACATTTTCCAAAGTTTTAGTGGTGGCTGCCATTATACAAACCTGGTGATGCAATGACAAACAAGTAAATGTAAAATAACAGAAACAACATTTGTCATAACATTTATTTTACTGTGAGCTCAGTAGGCATGGTGATCCTAATAAATCATTAATTTTCTAAAAAGCTGATCAACCTTACTTTTTGGTTTTCATTTGATTTATTTTGTGATTTCATATGTAGCCAAAATAATCTGAAAATATATCCAAATCAATTCTGGGATATTACACAGGTAATAGTGTCACATGAGGAAAATGTGGGAATGATTTGAAACTAGTGCAACTAATATATCAGAAGCCCATGTTGATTTAAATTGCTTATTGTTGCATTAGTAAATAACTATAACCTATTTTAAAGATTGAACTGCACTGTTCATGTCCGACCTCAACTATGGTTAAAAACACAGCCTGCTGCTACTTCAACCAGCCTTTAAAATAAATAAACATGCATGTTAGCGACAGAGTTACCTACAGTAGCTTCGATGTTTTTCTTTCTTCTTCAGTAGTTTATCCAGTTGGATCCCTCGGATGCTTATAATTACACACTGTATTTTTATTATTATGAGTGAAGTATATATAGCTGTGTGGGGTTCGTGGTTTCCGTGTTGTTGCGTTTACGGCCACCGTAATATCTGACACACATGTTTTCATTTAAAAATATAACCTTTAAAAAATAAATACAAAGGAAAAACCTTGACAACTTGACAGAAACAAATCCCCTGCTAGTATACACTCTGAAGAGAATGTGCAATACTGAACGCACACACAAAGAGACACACACACAAATACCGTCTACTACTTGGACATGGAGATTGTAAATGAGTAGAAAACTGTTACAGACCACACAAAGGTGGCTGTCTTTTTCAACTCCTTTCTGTCAGACCATAGATGGCACCTCCAGATCCAAAACAATCTAACATTACATTTTCTTTTAAAAGCCCTGGATTTTTTGTACAAAATGAAGCGTTATTTTGTTTTAAGCTTTTAAAACCCATTTTCCCGACAACCATTGAAAGCGGCATAAATGCTTCCAAATTATTGCACATGCGCAGTAGCTATTATCCCGAACTGCTGTTCTTGTTCCCACCTGCAGAGCGACTAGTCAAAACAAAAATCTTCTGGAAAGTCGGAGTCCTCCTGATATTAAAAAGCAGGCTAACCCAGCACGTAGCTACCGATAACGTTAGCAAAGTTAATTAAAGTGATATTAAACATAACTTTAATGGTCGTAAAGTAAATTTAGTCGCCACGATTCAATATGGAGACCGTTCAAAAGTTCCGTTTTTTCTACAACTTGTTTTGGTCGGTTTTTGTGGAATAGCTGGAATGCTAACGCTGTGTAGAAATATCAGTTAGCTTCGCATTGGACTCACCAACAACACAGAAAGCCCCCAGCCTCTTCTGGGCCCTGTTGGACGGCAGGAGTTTGTTATTTTACTCACTGGTAATAGGCCTCTTTTACATTTCAGCTGCATGTTGTGTTTAACAAAGAAGTAACTGTTTTTGTGTGTCCTGTAAAACCGCTTAAAACAACACATTAGTATCGCCTGAGAGCTAGTTGACCTGCATCACAAACTCTAAAAACAATGAGTTACCAGTCACTACGTGTGATTGACAGTATTGGAAAAAGTACTCGGATGTTATACTTAAGTAAAAGTATAAATACTACAGTATAAAAATACTTTGTAACGCGTAAAAATCCTACTTATCTACAAGTACAAAAGTATTGTCATCAAAATATACTTTATAGTAGTATTTGCATCTAGATGTATATTCATTCAATTACTGGATTATGTTTATAACTACATTAAATTGTTCTTCACAGCTGTTTAAGGTAGCGCTGATTTTAATAACTTTATATACTGTTGCAGGATCTTCCCCTATACATTTGGTTTGAGCTCCTAATCTGTATATACTACTGCCAAATAGTAGTGGACTAAATGCTAAGAATATTGGCTTCCAAATTGTACTGGAGTAGAGGTATAAAATAGCATGAAATAAAGACACTCAAGTACAGTACAACTACCCTACAGTACTTGTACTTTACTACATTAAACCAATCTAAAATACATCATTCGTACCACGTCTTATCACATTTTGTCCTGAAGGCAGTTAAATGTTGAAATACTTGTACTTTTGTTCTTTTCCACAGGTTCTTTTGACAGCAACGCCCTCAAGATGTCTATCCTCGGGTTAAAGAAGAAACAGCCGAAGACTTTTAAAGTCAAAGTTATCACCATGGATGCTGAGATGGAGTTCAGCTGTGAGGTCAGGATTTTTTCGTGCAGTCTTTATACCTAAAGGGTTGCTTTATTCATCTCTGTATCTGGATGGGCTATGTTTTATTTCATTTCCAGGTATAACCATTGATTTTCTGCATTTGTATTTGTAACCAGTTATTGGCACATTCACAATACATTGGCCATCTTAGATTGATGGGAGGTTGTGGCTCAGTGGTAAGTGCGCTGATCTTCGGATCACGGGGGCGAATCCTGCTGCAGTCAACATTCCGCAGTCAAGACACTTCACCCTAAATTGTTCAAGTGGGGATTGCCCACAGTATTGAATGTATGTAAGTCGCTTTGGATAAAAGCGTCTAACAAGTGACATGTAATGTAGTTTATGGACAAGCTTACTGAAGAATAGCCTGAAACTGACCTAATTATAAACAATTGTTTTGCATTACATCATCAAGAGTTCAGCTTGTTTCCTCATTTATGTATATGCCGGCCCTGCCACGTCTTGTCTTGTGATCAACTTACCTAGAACATGATTGACCCATTGAAATGTTTTAAACATTTGCTAAGGGAAATAATCTCCCTGCTTTTTACTCGATAATATTGATTCTTTTTGATTGTGTTATTGAAGGCATCCTTTACTTTTCAGGCCCAACTCACCTATACAATACTGAAAAACCCTCACAAATCAGTCACTTCAATATTTGACCATGAAGACTAAAGGGATATTCTGTTTTAGAAAAAGGAGCATCACTTGTTTTTTTGGTTGATTTAAACAGTTCCTGGGAATACAGAGCAGCAGCAACTGTCTTTATCACTCTCTGTTGTTCTCAGGTGAAGTGGCAAGGCAAAGACCTGTTTGACCTGGTGTGTCGCACCGTTGGTCTGAGAGAGACCTGGTTCTTTGGACTCAGGTACACGGTGAAGGACACCTACGCCTGGCTGAAACCAGAGAAACGGGTGAGTGAAGGAGTGAAGGTCAAATGGAGCAATGAGGATTATTAAATGAACAAGATACCAGACGTCATGGGGTTCAAATATTATCAACAATGCATAGTCAGATTAGAAAGATGAGGCTAACTAAATGAAGGCTATAACAAACATAATTATCCATTTACAGACATGTTGTATATTGTCTTTTGATTAAACAAATAATCATTTTGTTTCTACAATGTAAACAGTATCCATCCAAACACACAATCCAAAGGTGCCTCTTCAAATTGTTTGTCTTATCTGAAAAACAATCAAAGAAAGTGTTCAGTTTGTAATTATATAAAACCGCAAACTTTGCATAAGAAGGAGTTAATGATTTATTCTAATGATTGAGGAATTACATTATTGCTAGCAAGTTATTACATAAATACTGATCATGCACTTCTGGCTAGGGCTACTCGATTATGGCAAAAATCATACTCTCGATTATTTGGGTCAATAATTGATATCACGATTATTCAAAACGATTATCCATTTACTTTGAAAACATCCATTTATTGAAAAACCCAATGTGACCAGTATGTTTTTAACAGTTGATTACCCTGAACTTTAAGTATAATTCAACTGAAAAACCGATCGTTTTATTTCGATAGTTGTTTTCAAAATCGTAATTGAGCAGCCCTACTTCTGGCTTTAGTGTGTTTGGTCTGAAATGATGGTGCTTATTTGTTCTCTAAGGTCTTGGACCAGGAGGTTCCCAAGGACTCGCCCATAACATTTCATTTCCTGGCTAAATTCTTCCCAGAGAAAGTAGAAGAAGAGCTCGTCCAGGAGATAACTCAGCACCTCTTCTTCTTACAGGTAAGCATTGGTGTGTGTGTGTGTGTGTGTGGATGTGTGTGTGTGTGTGTGTGTGTGTGTGTGTGTGTGTGTGTGTGTGTGTGTGTGTGTGTGTGTGTGTGTGTGTGTGTGTGTGTGTGTGTGTGTGTGTGTGTGTGTGTGTGTGTGTGTGTGTGTGTGTGTGTGGTGTGTGTGTGTGGTGTGTGTGTGTGTGTGTGTGTGTGTGGTGTGTGTGTGTGTGTGTGTGTGTGTGTGTGTGTGTGTGTGTGTGTGGTGTGTGTGTGTGTGTGTGTGTGTGTGTGTGTGTGTGTGTGTGTGTGTGTGTGTGTGTGTGTGTGTGTGTGTGTGTGTGTGTGTTGTGTGTGTGTGTGTGTGTGTGAAGATGTTTCCTTGGTTTAATTAATACATGTGTCAAATTCTTGTATAGGTCAAAAAGCAGATATTAGATGAAGAGATATTCTGTTCCCCTGAAGCATCCGTCCTGTTGGCGTCCTATGCCGTCCAGGCCAAGGTAAGAAAGCTTCATGTTCCTACCTTCAGGTATGCTTTCGGCAAAGACCTGAAGATTACATATCATGTTTTGACCAGCTTTATACAAAGTATCTCTCTGTGTATGGACCTAACAGAATATACGGCGCACTTTAATAAGACTTAGATCAATGTGTTTTTGCAAACAATCAATATTTTATTTTCAGTTAGACTTATACACATATAGTTTGCTAATGTGCAAAAGTAACGTCCACATCTTTTTATTTTTCTCGTTTCCACCCCTTTATTCTCAATCGCAGTATGGGGACTATGACCCAAGTTTCCATAAGCCGGGCTTCCTCGCACAAGATGAACTTCTGCCCAAAAGAGTAAGTGCACATTTCAAATTGTTGTTATTTGTTGTTATTATCTGTTTGATATACCTAATTGGTAGATCAGTGACACATTGTTAGTTTGTGTGTAAGCAGTACATAATGTGTATTCTTCTGATCCTGTAGGTTTTGATGCAATACCAAATGACAGCGGACATGTGGGAGGAGAAGATCACGGCTTGGTACGCCGAGCACAGAGGCATCGCCAGGTAAGACCCACGCGGGGGGGATTCTGAAATTCAGCATGTAGAGAGAAATGAACCCCTGCACAGAGACAGTTTTCCTGAATACAGTAGTTTAAATGAGATAAATTCGATATGCCTTCCCTTCTTTATTTTTACATCATCCATACAGGGATGAGGCTGAGATGGAATACCTTAAAATCGCTCAGGACCTTGAGATGTACGGTGTCAGCTACTTCGCCATTACTGTGAGTGTTATCTTATGCTGCCTTTTATGGTATTTAAAAAAAAGATATATGTCACCTTTACTGTTACTGTTGTTTCAATTCACAGCAAAATAAGAGGGACACAGACCTGCTTCTCGGAGTGGATGCTCAGGGTCTCCACATCTACAGCCCCAACAGCAAACTCAACCCCAACAAATCCTTCCCCTGGAGCGGCATCCGCAACATCTCTTACAGCGAGAAGGAGGTAAATGCAGCGGACTGTCTTTTCCGGTCTTTCATCGAGCATTTTTCTGTCAAAATGGGGGTATGAATATTGTGTGGAAACAACAAGTGGGCTTGTTTAACTGTATTGAAATTGCAAATCCATACATGATTTTTTCTCTTACTATAGATACAATTTACAACACAACTGCCAAGAAACTGTAGGTGTGTAGTGTGATTCTGTGTAGTTTATTTATGGCATCCTGTTGGATTGGACGCCATCTGAACAGGACATCGCACGCTCACTGCTTGATAGCGCGCAAAGGTCCGTTTACGCCGGTTGTTAAACAACATCGTTATGGGGAAATGCAAGCTTGCGTCCAAATGGTTGGAAGATAAGGAGGAAGGACAATCAATACTGTATATAGTCAATGTGAGGTAAAGTGTGTCGCCAATGTAACCGGTTAAACCTCGAAGTGGCGATGAGGTCGTAAAATGTATGAAAAAAAGGTCTTAAAAGGTATTAAAAGGTATTACATTGGACTTCAGGATTCCTGCATATACCCTGTGTTAACTATATCATAAAGCGCTTAAATTTTTCCCTTATGCAACATGAAAGTATCACGATATGTATCGGTCGAGTATCGGTATCGTAAAAAAAAATAATACTCACTTTTTAACTTTCCCATGTTGCAGTTCACCATCAAACCCTTGGATAAGAAGAAAGATGTTTTCAAGTTCTACTCCTCTCAACTGCGTGTCAACAAGCTGGTTGGTCTGCCTCTTTCTGAATGTTGCACTATCATACATTTAGAGCTATATGAAGTTAGGGTACCACTTTACAATAAGACTACCCTTTATAAAGGGTTCGTAATTAGGTTATTAATTAGGTTGTAAACACTTTATTTAGTCAACACAGACTCACTATTTGGCAAGGTGACTAAGCCTTATATTGGCTACTTAGTGAGAATCAACTCAGTGAACAACAGATACCAAGGATGCTGGCTGATGAACAAGACGAAGTAAGCTAGGTAGCCAATATAAGACTTAGCAGTACAGATGCTTGTGGGCACACTATTTGGCAAGCAACCGGTCACAGTTGCCCTGTTTATCTCATGTCTTATAAAAGCTTATTAATGACTTATAAAGTGTTCACAACCTAATTAATGAATGAACTACAAACTATTCGTAAACCCTTTATAAGAGGAGTCTTATTGTAAAGTGGTACCGAAGTTAGATATTTATTGTCTGGTCTCTCCTGTGTCTTCAGATCCTGCAGTTATGCATTGGCAATCACGATCTATTCATGAGGAGGAGGAAGGTGGACTCCATTGAAGTGCAACAGATGAAGGCTCAAGCAAAAGAAGAGAAGGCCCGCAAGAAGGTCAGTGCTCCCAGCTTCAAGCGAGCAATAAGAAAAACATTGTTCACAGTATGAAGGGTTGCTGGCGTAAACCTTTTTGAACTGGTAAACTATTATTACCACTAGGTGTCACACTTGACTCAGCAGCTGCCCATCCCTTCTTTTCTTGTACATGATATCTCCTCTATGTTTTGATTTAAAGATCCAAGATGGTGGTACTCGCAGACTAATTACATTACATTGCATTTTGCTGACGCTTTTATCCAAAGCGACTTACAATAAGTGCGTTCGACCAACAAGATGCAACCTTGAAGAAAACAGAATCATATAAGTACATCAGGTTTCATAGAGCCAAAACATTTCAAGTGCTACTCAACTGGCTTTAGGTAAGCCAGTCCTTTATTAGTATATAAGTGCTTTGTTGGTAATTCTATCGCTCAAAGTGGAGTCGAAAGAGATGAGTTTTCAGTCTGCGCCGGAAGGTGTGTAAGCTATCTGCTGTCCTGATTTCAATGGGGAGCTCATTCCACCATTTTGGAGCCAGGATAGCAAACCCACGTGTTTTTGCTGATGGGAACTTGGGTCCCCCTCGCAGCGCGGGTGCAGCGAGCCGTTTGGCTGATGCAGAGCGGACAATCTTATACGTTGAAAATGTTCATAGTGTTGTATTTTAGTTTAATTAGAGTTTTAGTAGGACACAACGGGCTTTTTTATAAAATCAGACGCGTTAAGGCTTTTACACTGAACCAGTAAAACCAGAAATTCATCCAACTCTATACACACCATGCATACATATAGAAACTACAGTTTTATTTATCATCACTGATCAAGCTTGGTTCTCTTTGCTTACATTATTGAGTTTCTTCTTGGCATCAATGTAGATGGAGCGGCAAATCCTGGCACGGGAAAAACAGATGAGAGAGGAAGCAGAACGGGCAAAAGAGGAGATGGAGAGAAGACTCTTCCAGCTGCAAGACGAGGCGCGGCTGTCCAACGAGGCTCTGGTGAGAGCTTCATCCTCCACATGAAATAACTGTTGAAACTGTTCAGCTTTTTTGATGAACTCCCGTTTGGCTAACTGGATACCATTGCGAAGCCTAATGTCTCCATCATTCCTAATAATGGCTATTTAAATGTTCCAATGTATTTTCTCCAGCTTCGCTCTGAGGAGACGGCGGACCTGCTGGCAGAAAAGGCTCAGATTGCAGAGGAGGAGGCCACGCTTCTGGCCCACAAAGCTGCAGAAGCCGAGCAGGACAGGCAGAGGTTAGAGGTCACGGCCATGAAGACCAAGGAGGAGAAGCGGCTGATGGAGCAGAAGATGAGGGAGGCCGAGCAGCTGGCCGTCAAACTGGTGGAGCAGTCTGAGCGGAGGTCATTAGATTTAATAACTTCCATCTTTTCTAAGTTCCATTTATCTTATTTTTCAATAAAAATACATAATTAGTTACCATTTAGGTAAATCTGCATTCTTCTGCTTGTAATACCCTCTAGTGCAGGGATGGGCATATGGCGGCCCGTGACGCTGTGACGTTAAGTTGCAGCTTGTAATTATGCCGTTACAAGCTTCAAAGTTGCATTTATCATCTGAATTTGGCGAAACAAGTTTAATATTCTAAAAACCAAGACCTTGTTTATTTGAAATCAGATGAAAACAAACTGTCACGGACCCTGCCGTGTTACCTATGATTACTATACGCTTTTCATTCATAATTTCAGCGGGAGGGAGGGGTCGCGGCGCTGAGGAACAGCAGAGTGCGGGTTGACAGGTGTCTGTGTTGACACTCCCCTTATTGTACGTCAGCAGAGACAGGCTACAAGTGTCTTAGCTAGGTTCAAGTTAGACAACCAATGTCTGGGTTAGTGTTCATGGCTTCATGTTTATGTCATCTTAATGGTTAATCTCAATGCACTCACATTTTCCGTGCTTTCCAATAGTTTAAAATAGTTTTATTCCACTGTTAAATAACCTGTTCAATACAAACATGCCACATGTAAAAATTAAATACCATTTCTGTGAACTGATATTTGTTTAGCGAGCTTATTAGAGGATGTTCCCTGAAAGATTGTAAAATGTCAATGAAGATGTCAGTGTGTGTTCCAAGTGAATCTGCGGCCCCCTGGTGGCCAGTACATACATTACGTGGCCCCCACCACCATCCAAGTTGCCCATCCCTGCTCTAGTATTTGGTGTTTGTTAGTAACAGTGTCTTCCTTCAGCCTTGAACTAATCAAAGCTCTGGTTCCAGATTGAAGGAGTCCGACCACCTGAAGCAGGACCTGACGGAGGCGAAGGACGCCGAGCGGAGAGCCAAACAGAAGCTGCTGGAGATCACCAAAACTACATATCCTGTGAGACGATGATCATACTGCGGCTCTTTGTGACAAATCCAAGTTAATACAGTGCAAATGTTTTATGAGCTACGGCCATTTATCTATCTATATAAGATACGTTTGACACTATGAGTCCTGACTCTGTGACGGTTAGTGCATTTAGAGAGGATTATTGTTGTTGTTAAAGCACCCAATGTAAAGCACAACATGAGCTGTTGTCAACATTTTGGACAGAGAAATGCATACGAGGGTTTTGGATTTAGTTGGATAGGAATAGGTACAATAAAAAAAGTTTCATTTGATTTTGTCGCCAATAAGTGCTGTCACCAAGTACTTACAGTAGTTAAAATAATTTGTATAGTGTATCACTTTCCATTTCCTGCCATCGTATGTAAACGGACTGTAATGTAGTAGTGAAAACACATTACAGTACTCATTTGACACATGTTTGCTTCCTTTAGCTCATAGCAGCCTACTCTGCTCCCCCTGCCCCCCTCCCTCCTCCTGAAGCTGCCGACTTTTCCTATGAATCAACGTCCACACGTCTGGACTTCAAAGACTCTGACATGAAAAGGCTGTCCATGGAGATCGAGAGAGAGAGGTGAGTTGACATCCTGTAGGGTACACTTTAGAAAGACAGTCCAGATCTGTGTGTGTGTGTGTGTGTGTGATACCTTGTGATGCATGAATGCAGGCTGGAGTACATGGAGAAGAGCAAACACCTGCAGGACCAGCTGAAGGAGCTGAAGACGGAGATCGAGTCTCTGAAGCTGGAGGAGCAGCAGCAGCAGGCCGGCGTCTACACCCTGCGCCACGAGGCCCGCGGGTACAACCAGGAGCCGGTCTACCTACCTCAGAGCAACGTACGTATCTGCACTTCAGATTACACTCGTCTGTAATTAATATTACTAATATTTATTAGTTCTGCTGAAGATTGTTTACCTGTCAGTATGTCTAATAGATTGAAATAGCTTAAATATTTTATCATGTCTCCCCATGTGTACCATTTCATAATAATGGGCTCGTATGCATGGCAACACTAGGCTTCCTATTTGCTTTTCTCAAAGCATATCCAAAGAATAATTGATCGTCTTTTAATGGAATCGTAAAGTTATTTCATTATTTATCTTGACACACAATCATGTCATCTTAATTAGTAATGATGAGTCAATGTGATTAACAAACATTGTTTAAATGGATATTTTAATTTATTAATATACTTATGGAGATATTAAATGACTTATACAATTATAAAATAATTTTGTATATAATATTTTTACAGTTTTATCCCATTTGGTAATAGAGAGAGACAATTCATGATAGCAGGTTTATTTTTGAACTATGTAAAATATCATAATTGCTTTTATATCCGCAAACTTTCTCCTCTATACTTTAATAAACAGATATTCTTTGAGCCAAAAGAGCCATCAGTTTAAAGGCAACCTGTTTTCAATATTTAAATATGTAGTTCCCAGCTGATTTAAGATGTGTAGCATATGAAGCACTGTTGTATTCATTTAATCAGTATTGGTGTTTACTTAACTTCTCGTTGTATCACTAAAAACATTTCTTCACACCGGTTTATTCCACATTTTCTCTTTTAAAAAACGTGTCTTGCAGCGAAACTCTGCGTACATGTCTCAGATGGCTTACTTTGAAGAAGTGTGATCGAGTCCTGCAAGAAACGCAACGTGGGCCCAGCTGTTGTGACTTTTGACCTGACTGAAACAAACAGACACTCGCACACATCATGACTGTGCTTTGGGAAGACTATAAATCTGTACCGACAACAAACAGCCACTAGTTGCTACCACCTTCCACACTGCAGCACCTTCTTTCTTTATAAAGTGTTTGTGACACTGATTCAAGACGTGGTGCTGAAGACGGTTGCATGTTGCTGTGTCGAGTTGCTGATGTTGTTTTGTGGTTTTTAAGGGATGCTTAGCTGTGAGATGGTCAGATATCATATCATAACTTCATGACACGTTTTAAAATAATGACTTAATGACATTTTAGGGCAGGGATTGAGGTTCAAATTCATCGTAAACTGGCTCTAGGCAAGTTCCTCCATTAGTCGCCATTGGATAAACACTGAAAATGAACATCTGTAAACAAATATTTTGTAAATACGGTCACTTTCTTTCAAACTAGCAGTGTTTCTCAAACGTGGGAAAAAATGACCTGAAAGAACCCCAAATTTGAAATTACACATTTCCCAATTTTGTTTTATAATGTAGTTTTGAACACTAAAAAAACAGTAAGGATAACTCTTGATTATTGACAACTTAAGGTGTAAATGAAAACAATCTTGCTCATAAAAGTTATTTGTAAAAATAGTAATCACAACTCACAGAGAAGTCTGAGAAGCGGACGTGTGCAGCAGGGACAGTTTCTAGAGGAGATACTCCATCAAATGTTAAATGCAGTGTTGATCTTTGTTTTGGTGGTTTTGTTTACTTTTTTAGTTTTTGAGCTGCCTTTACACACAGGTGCCTTTTTATTGTTTCCAGTGCCTCAACACATAGTAATGTAGAACAAAGGTAGTACACAAGCTTGCCATTTCAACTTTTTATCTTTTGTATCTAGACTGTTGATGTGCCTTGAACTTTATTTGTTACTATTATGATAAGAGTTACTAAGGTTTGTATATGCTATCATTGTGCTTATGTGTCTTAGCATTGGGGTTGCCTTTGAGCCTGGGTTGGATATCATACCCTGACTTTTTGACCTTCCGGTTTTCTTTTATTTCCTCAGCTGGTGTACTTCTCAGGGTTAGTGTTGGAGACAATCAGATATGTGTTTCCCCTGAGATAAACAGCCTTTTTTCCAATATTGCTAAAGGATTCAAACAGGCTATTAACATTTAGCTTGGTTAAATCTAATAGTAGCAAAGTAGAGATTTTAGACATGTTGAGATGGGTAACTTTTCTTACACTAAAGTCCTCATTATATTGTTAAAAAGGGAGAGGCTGGATGCCATATGTACAGCCAGGGATTCTGGGTGTTTATTTTAGATCGACATCATTATGGACCTAACGGAGACAATTGATTGGTTCATCATTGCATGGTTGGGTATTAGGCTAACCTTGGTCCTGTGTAAACTGTATTGTGTAAAATGTCCCAGTGAAAGTGTTCTTTTTGTATTTCATCAACACATTTCTTAAGTGCTTTAATTTGCATCTTCAACCTTATTTATTTGTGCTATAAATCCTTAAATAACATCATCACACATGTTTTCTTTGTGGAGGAATTAAATGTTTGTTTTTGTTTTTCCAGAAGTGGATTTTACTGCTACTTACTACTACAATGCGAGTGCTAAAAAAATATTTGACACACAAAACAATATTGTACCTACGGTTTACGTTGAAGTGATTACTATGTAACAATTTCACAAAGTTCTTTCAATGACCTATTTCATTTATCAAGTTGTTTTGGTGTATATCATTTCAATACAACCATGGTCATACAACATGCTTTTGCTTTGCCTGATGTTTGTTAGTAGAGGTTGTTCATAGATAATCATTTAATCATTATTGCGTTCTAATGTGTCAGTAAAATGTCATTAGCCGCGGAGCGAAGAACCCATCAAGGCTGAACATCCATCTAAGTATATTATTTGAATTATAGGATTTTATTTAATGTGTAGTCTCTCTGCATTTGAATGTGCATCCAAACACACATACAGTGGGGTAAAGAAGTATTTAGTCAGCCACCAATTGTGCAAGTTCTCCCACTTAAAAAGATGAGAGAGGCCTGTAGTTTTCATCCTAGGTACACTTCAACTATGAGAGACAGAATGGGGGGAAAGAATCCAGGAAATCACATTGTAGGATTTTTAATGAATTAATTGGTAAATTCCTCGGTAAAATAAGTATTTGGTCACCTACAAACAAACAAGATTTCTGGCTCTCACAGACCTGTAACTTCTTCTTTAAGAGCCTCCTCTGTCCTCCACTTGTTAACTGTATTAATGGCACCTGTTTGAACTCGTTATCAGTATAAAAGACCACAACCTCAAACAGTCACACTCCAAACTCCACTATGGCCAAGACCAAAGAGCTGTCAAAGGACACCAGAAACAAAATTGTAGACCTGCACCAGGCTGGGAAGACTGAATCTGCAATAGGTAAGCAGCTTGGTGTGAAGAAATCAACTGGGAGCAATTATTAGAAAATGGAAGACATACAAGACCACTGATAATCTCCCTCGATCTGGGGCTCCACGCAAGATCTCACCCCGTGGGGTCAAAATGATCACAAGAACGGTGAGCAAAAATCCCAGAACCACACGGGGGGACCTAGTCAATGACCTGCAGAGAGCTGGGACCAAAGAAGGCAAGGCAAGACCTGCAGTTTTCTGGGAGTTTGTTCCAGATATTTGGAGCATAATAACTAAACACTGCTTTTCCATGTTTAGTTCTGACTCTGGGGACAGAAAGCTGACCAGTCCCTGAAGACCTGAGAGATCTGGATGGTTCATAATTTAGCAGTAGGTCAGAAATCTATGTTGGGCCTAAACCATTCAAAGCTTTATAAACCAGCAGCAGTATTTTTGAAATGTATTCTTTGACACACAGGAAGCCAGTGTAAAGACTTCCGAACAGGAGTGATGTGATCCACTTTCTTAGTGTTAGTGAGGACTCGAGCAGCGGCGTTCTGAATCAGCTGCAGCTTTCTAATAGATTTTTTAGTGAGACTTGCAAAGACACCATTACAGTAGTCCAGTCTACTGAAGATAAAAGCATGGACAAGTTTTTCCAAATCCTGCTGTGACATTAGTCTTTTAATCCTAGATATATTCTTTAGGTGATAGTAGGCTGATTTAGTAACAGTTTTAATGTGACTGTTGAAACTCAGGTCAGAGTCCATGACTACACCTAGATTTCTGGCTTTATCTGTTGTTTTGAACATTGCAGACTGAAGCTCACCGCTAACTTTTATACGTTCTGCCTTGGCTCCAAAAACCATTACCTCAGTTTTATCTTTGTTTAATTGGAGAAAGTTCTGACACATCCAGTCATTGATTTGTTCAATGCACTTACTCAGTGTTTGAATTGGAGCATAGTCTCCTGGTGAAATTGTTACGTAAATGTGTGTGTCATCCGCATAGCTATGGTAACTTATTTTGTTGTTTTTCATTATCTGAGCCAGTGGTAGCATGTAGATGTTAAAGAGAAGAGGCCCCAAGATGGAGCCTTGAGGTACCCCACATGTCATATTTGTCAACTCAGATGTGTATTTACCTATAGAAACAAAGTTGTTTCTGTCCTTTAAGTAGGATTCAAACCAATTTAGAACTGTTTCCGAAAGTCCCACCCAGTTTTCTAGTCTGTCTAGTAATATGTTGTGGTCAACAGTGTCAAACGTAGCACTGAGATCTAATAATACTAACACTGAAGTTCTGCCACTGTATGTGTTTAAGTGGATGTCATTGAAGACCTTTACAAGAGCAGTCTCAGTGCTGTGGTTTGGACGAAAGCCTGACTGGAACACATCGAAACAACTATTTAAATGCAAGAAATTACTCAACTGTTGAAAAACAACTTTTTCAATGATTTTACCTAGAAATGGGAGGTTTGATATGGGCCTGTAATTGTTCATTACTGAAGCATCTAGATTATTCTTTTTAAGAGCGGTTTAATGACTTCAGTTTTCAGGGCCTGTGGAAAAATACCTGAGTGAAGAGATTTGTTTACTATATGAAGTAGATCTGAGGCCGTGCAAGGAAAAACATCTTTTGAAAAATCCTGTTGGAATAATATCAAGGCAGCAAGAGGAGGATTTCAGAAGTTGAATAATGTCCTCTAGGTTTTTATCATTAATCTGATGGAATTGTGTCATGGTGTTTGAATTGATATTAGGTGGACATAGGGACAACACATTTGCTGTACCTGATGCAGAGGCACTGAATTTTGTCAGTGAAGAAGGAGGCAAAATCATTGCATGTGGATATAAATTCAGTGGCTACTGACACTGGGGGGTTAGTTAGTCTGTCGACGGTAGCAAACAAGGCTTGTGCATTGTTTTTGTTTTTGGTAATGATGTCAGAGAAGAAAGACTGTCGTGCGTTTTTCAATTCCAAATTATAAAGGCCAAGTCTCTCTTTATAGATTTCAAAGTGAACCTGGAGATTTGTTTTTCGCCACCTACGTTCAGCTTTTCGACACTCTCTTTTTTCTGCTCTCACAGTCATGGCCTTTCTCCATGGAGATATTTTCTTCCCAGTCACTTCCTTTACCTTAGTTGGAGCAATGGCATCTATAACATTTTTAATTTTTTAATTAAAATGATCTCCTAGCTCATTTACTGAGATGTTAGCAGGGGCAAGCGTGGAAGAAAAAATCTGAGTAAACATTTCCCTAGTGTTTTCAGTTAAATATCGCTTTGTGGTTACCTCTTTTTGAACATTTTTGTGAACAGAAATAGAGCTCTCAAAGAAAACACAGGAATGATCAGAGAGTGCAACATCAGTCACCACAACCTTAGAGATATTCAGACCCTTTGAGATAATTAAGTCCAGAGTGTGCCCCTTATTGTGCGTGGGCTCCGTCACATGCTGAGTCAGTCCATAGTTATCAAGAACACAGTTCTTTAGCCCCTCTGTCCTGGGGGTTGTCAACATGGATGTTAAAATCACCCACAATGACTAGATGGTCAAAGTCAATACACACTATAGACAGCAGTTCAGTAAAGTAATCAAAAAAGCTTGCACAGTATTTGGGTGGTCTATAGATATTTAGGAACAGAGCTCGAGAGGAGCATTTCAGCTGAAGGGCCACATATTCAAAAGAAGCAAAGTTCCCATACGATGTCTTCCTGCATTGAAGGGAATCATTGAACAAAATAGCAACTCCACCCCCTTTCTTATGCATTCTTTCCTGACTCATAAAACTACAGTTGGGAGGGGTTGATTCGATAAGAACAGCTGCACTGTTATTTTGTTCAATCCAAGTTTCCGTTAAAAACATAAAATCAAGATTGTGCTCAGTGATAAAATCATTGATTAAAAATTGTTTTCCTGCCAGAGACCTGACATTTAATAAAGCTAGTTTAAGTTCGTTAAATACACTATCAGTCAGATTTTTTGTAACAAGCTGTGGCTGACATGGAATCAATGCTAAATTAGATAAACTCACACAAACGTTTGAGCACTTCCTGTTTCTAAACTGATTCACCGCTCTTAATCTATTACCTATCAACACAGATATTGGCAAAGCTACTGGCAGGCAGGGCCCCTGCATGTCCTGGAAAGAGTTGAGAGTGACATACGCCCTTGAGCCTGGACCCAGCACATATCAGTAAGAGTTTGTTGCGTTTTGTACACACACATCCTTATCAGGCTTCGGAGACTGCAGATGCTTTCTTGAAGGCAACAAAGGCTACCATCAGTAACACACTACACCGCCAGGGACTCAAATCCTGCAGTGCCAGACGTGTCCCCCTGCTTAAGCCAGTACATGTCCAGGCCCGTCTGAAGTTTCCAAAATAGAACTTTTTGGTAAAAACTCAACTAGACGTGTTTGGAGGAGAAAGAATGCTGAGTTGCATCCAAAGAACACCATACCTACTGTGAAACATGGGGGTGGAAACATCATGCTTTGGGGCTGTTTTTCTGCAAAGGGACCAGGACGACTGATCCGTGTTAAGGAAAGAATGAATGGGGCCATGTATCGTGAGATTTTGAGTGACAACCTCCTTCCATCAGCAAGGGCATTGCAGATGAAACGTGGCTGGGTCTTTCAGCATGACAATCATCCCAAACACACCGCCCGGGCAACAAAGGAGTGGCTTCGTAAGAAGCATTTCAAGGTCCTGGAGTGGCCTAGCCAGTCTCCAGATCTCAACCCCATAGAAAATCTTTGGAGGGAGTTGAAAGTCTGTGTTGCCCAGCGACAGCCCCAAAACATCACTGCTCTAGAGGAGATCTGCATGGAGGAATGGGCCAAAATACCAGCAACAGTGTGTGAAAACCTTGTGAAGACTTACAGAAAACGTTTGACCTCCGTCATTGCCAACAAAGGGTATATAACAAAGTATTGAGATGAACTTTTGTTATTGACCAAATACTTATTTTCCACCATAATGTGCAAATAAATTCTTTAAAAATCAGACAATGAGATTTTCTGTATTTTTTTCTTCTTCTCATTTTGTCTCTCATAGTTGAGGTATACCTAGGATGAAAATTACAGGCCTCTCTCATCTTTTTAAGTGGGAGAACTTGCACAATTGGTGGCTGACTAAATACTTTTTTGCCCCACTGTAATTGCAGAGAATCTAATGTCTGTTTGGCTTGCCTAAATTCTATCCAGCATTATTGTGTACAAAATGTCATGTGAAACAGCCTTTTTACTACAGAGAATTACTACTAAACACTTTATGCTGACTAGGATGTTTTGAGAATAACTGCCATCATTTAGGACTGAAGGATTTACATTTACTGGAGGTATTGCAGGTATTTGCAATACATTCAAA